GTCAGGAATATATCTTCCTTCAGAATGTCAAAACCGTTCATGTCCTGGTTTGATAAGATCGAATCAATATTTGTTGAGAAACCGCTGGTGTAAACAAGGAAATATTGTGAGGAAATACATGTACATGTACATGTTGGACTTTGTGTTTTCATTGTGGATCATAAAACAAACGTTTAATGATCCTTAAAGAGATGGTTGAGTTCTGGGAAGAAGTGAAAAATAATTGTGAGCGTGGAAGAGCATGGAAGAACATCAGATAAAAATGTTCCATGAAAAGCATGGCTCTTCAAATCCCTTAATATTCTAAATATGGCAAATAACGTCAATTTCTTATCATTTTGATGATTCCAGAACCTTGCAGTACACACCAATACCTACAATGTATATGCTAGATGATCAACCTTTTCTGATCGATTCCACAACGTTTCTTTCACAATGCAATCGTGTGACCAGAACACAACTTTGTCTTTAAGCTCTCAAGTAACAATAGCCAAACTTGTAACCTTTGTACATACATTTCATGGAGAATATCCTATTGATGTAAACTTTCATATATCATCAGGTTTAATCAGCTAGAATTATTTTTGAAGATAATGGATTAATTACCGGTACCTTTGAATTTATGTAAAAGTCGCAACTTGAAAAAGTAGATTGTATATTAATGAAAGAGCATTGAGTCTGGAAAGGGATTTTGCAGATGTTTTTTTAATTTGTTTTCTCTGTTAATAAAGAACAATTAAAACACAAACAAAAACACCAAAAAATGATAATTTTACAACTGAAATACAAAGGCAATTAAATTTACATGTATCTTTGAGAACTTTCAACATGAGATTATACTTATAATTTCCTCAGCCTTTTATTGTTAGTCATTATATTGTGAAAGTCTTTAACAGTCTTTTGCAATAGAACATACTGTAGATGTAGTAGAATGTAAATGGAAAAAATGACATGACTGCAGTTTTTAACTTTCAAAGCAAAATTTCAAGACAAGATATAATTACATGTATATAGCTTGAATTTGCCCATTTGGTTATTTAAAATGAGATGCTTTACTCCTGATTTAGTTTGTAGTAGTTGCACAGCTGTAAAATCTGGAATTTTAAAGCTGACCAATACAGGATATGGATTACTTCCCTCACATGGACAAGCACCGCTAGGAAACACGTCCCGCAGACCTCGGGGTGGACAAAGCGAGACTCGGGCGCGGGTCGCTCTGAGAGCACACTTCCTCCACCGAGCGTTTCCGAGACAAAAGTTCAAAGAACTTGCTTGTTTGGGAGAAGAGTTTCCTAGCCCACAGCCCTCTTAATAATCCAACCTTGCCCATCAATCATATGGGATTGTCAAAAAGACAAATCAAATTATGTCCCTCATTAGGGGTAATTACGGCCGACAAAGCGATCCTGTCGCTCAAGTATTTGAGTGGCAAGAATATAAAGCAGCCGTAAATCGTGGTTTCTATTGTGCATGCAGTTCTTGTATTGACCTGGAACAACATGAAGATGTTGATATTATTATTTAAGAAGGACTTGAATTATGCACGGGTCTGCAAGAAATGACCCCTTGAAATCTACAGTGACCCCAAATTTTTAACTTTTAAAATTTATCTTGTTGAGAAACTTGTGTAGGAGTCACCGGGGTCATATCTTTAATAGTTTTCTAAAGGGCTTTAAATAAAAAAGAATGTGTTAGTTTGTCTGCTGAGAGCCAGAAGGGCATTATCTTGCATCCTAAAAATAATAATACATTTATAGAGCGCAGAAACTATCCAACATTAAGTATATATTCTACTGCGCTACAAGAGCTCCTGATATGCTTAGATTTACAGTTAATTAAAAAGATGTGTTTTCAGTTTCGATTTAAAGACGTTTACAGATGATGATTTCCTGACTTCAAATGGCAAGTTATCAGAGTTTTTGGGGCTGCACAAGCAAATGCTTGATCACCTAGCGTTATTTTTGTTTTGATAGATGGGATCTGCAGCAACAAAGTATCTCGGGAACTGCGCAAGTTGCGATTGTGTTGATTAGGTTTGAAATTCAACAGTTCTTTGATAATGTAAGTGGGAGCTTGACCAAGAAGTGCTTTATATACAATCAGCAAGATTTTTAATGTTATTCTCTGGCGTACTGGTAACAAATGTAGATTTCTTAAAAACATATATTACTATTCTTACTCACAACATACAATTTTTTTCACAAAGTCTTGTTTGGTTTGAGGGAAAATATTGCATTATTTAGCCTTAAAATATGCGCCATATTCTAGTACATGTACATGTACATGATAGTGACCCAAAACATGGTTCTGGCACCGAGTTATTTACATACAGTAAGGCCTTGCATAGGCTGAGCTGAATATTACCGGTAATTAAAAAGTAAGGAAAAGCTAGGTTTCATGGACGGGTCACCCCCAGTGGGTTAATAATTACCGTCTGTACTGTTAGAAATAGTTGCCATGGTAACACCACTTTGTCTCCTTGTGCAAATTGGAACAGTCTGCAAGGCACGCAGGAAAATGCAATGTGCAGGAGTGAATGGGAATATAGGGCCCTGCATGACGTTAACTTGTCATGAATTCGAGATGATTGTTCTGAGTGAAATTGACTCTAAATTATTATTTTAGTAGTATTTGCTGAATTCTCCCATTATTGTAAAATGATATGAGGTAAACACCTTTCTAAAAAATAGTTATAAGATGAATATGGAAATACTTAAACAAAGGTCAGCCATATAGGGGGGGGGGGGAGTGGCTATTTTATTTTCAGGTTTGTAAATCCAACCCTAACTGTGATAGGAAGTGTAAACAAAGCCATAACTGTATCATAACTATTCTAGTACCTGTTATCATGAGCCCAACTGTAACTCTTATTACAACCCCAACCAAATGAAGAAATGTGAATAGCAGCAAATGAAGGCCCAGTGGACTGGATATAAATCTGAAGTTTGCAACCTAAGAATAATTTGCTCTGTATTTTACGTGATTGCCACAAAAGATACCTGATACAGACTCTATTTACTTATATTTGTATATCACCCACATGTTCTTTTAATTTTCTGTGAAATATGTTATGGAATTTACAAAAGTAGTGCATCAGTAACAAGCAATCATATTTGCCCACATCATAATTTTGGTCTAAAGCAGATCGAAGGCTTTCTCACATGTACATGTACATGTATGTTCCTCAAAACATTCATTTAAACACACTTAGTGACCTTACCTGAACATGCCTTGGCTTTTAAACAGTTACACTGTAGTACAGTCCTGCATTGTCGAGCACCGAGTCATATCGGATTACCTGTATGTTCTTCAAAACATTAATTCGAACGCACTTTAGTGACCATACCTGAACATGCCTTGGCTTTAAACAGTTAGTACAGTAGTACAGTCCTGCATTGTCTAGCACTGAGTCATATAGGATTACCTGTGTGTTTTTCAAAACATTAATTTGAACACACTTCAGTGGCCGTACCTGGACATGCCTTGGCTTTAAACAGTTATGTAGTACAGTCCTGTATTAATTGTCTAGCACTGATTCATATAGGATTATCTGTATGTTCTTCAAAACATTAATTTGAACGCACTTCAGTGACCGTACCTGAACATGACTTTGCTTTAAACAGTTGGTACAGTCCTGCATTGTCTAGCACCGAGTTATAGATTACCTGTTTGTTCTTCAAAACATTAATTTGAATGCACTTAGTGACCTTACCTGAACATGCCTTGGCTTTAAACAGTTGCACTGTAGTACAGTCCTGCATTGTCTAGCACTGAGTCATATACATGTAGGATTTCCTGTATGTTCTTCAAAACATTAATTTGAACACACTTCAGTGACCGTACCTGAACATGCCTTTGCTAATATTACAGTTAGTACTGTCCTGCGTTGTCTGGCACTGAGTCATACCATGGCTGGCCCAGTACTACACCATAGTCCTAACACCTCGGTAATGAGTGAATGATTGACATGCAATAAACCCTATTAATCTACCCGTATTAGTGGCATACCAGTTCTAATTTGATTACCTGTCCAAATACTTGTACTGGTTACAGCTCTGTTCATACTCCTGTTTCTTTCAACCTGAGATTATATTTTTTGAGGGGATCATATTTGTGGCATTTTGGTGTAAATAAGAAATCCTGTTATTTGTGTTTTGTATTAAAATAAAAGAGAGCTCCGCTTCCTCTGTGAAGATTACATTATTTTTAAAAAGAAAAAAAACTTTTTATTTCTGCATACAAAACACAACATTTTCATGAATTTCACAAATTTTATTTAAAATCACAACACATGACATACATGTAACACTGAATTTTTGTGATTTGTGAAAGTTTCTTCCTGTGAATATGGCTTTTCTTTATACTTAATAGCTCAAACCTCTTCTTTCTGGCAGGATGGATGGATATATTCAATCATGTATTTCTCAAGCACATGTTGAAACCGTTGTTTTGAATCTGGAATAATCATGTACAGATTGACATCAGAATTCATTTAGAAAAATATAGATTGTTGATCAGTGTCAAGTTTAGTTTTGAAAAAGCATTTGAAGTCATTGGGCTGTCAGTTTTAATGGTTCCAATGAATCTTGATTTCACACGCTATCTTATTCTGTGATCCATCAACTTGAAGATTCATAGCTAACTATTTAAAAGGTTTCACGACCAAACGACATACTTTTGTTTCCTACTCCGAATGATGGAACTGCTTTAGTTAAAATTAAGTTGACCTGTTCCTTACCCAGGCTACCTAGATGGGTAAGCAAGTGTCAAATTATTGTATTCAATCACTATGTCTTATGTAAATTGTATATTGTTTTTTTTGAAAGTGTCAAATAAAAAGTACCGTAATTAACGGTGTATAAACCGCCCTCGTGTATTAACCGCACCCCTCTTTTTCGCCCTAAAAAAGAAAAAAAAAAATTGTACCGGTACCTGTGTATAAACCACACCCCCGACTTCAGTAAAATATATTTTTTCCTTTTTCTTTCCTTTCCTTGCAGTGCTGGTATGGCGTTCACAAATGTTTCCAACGAATTTCTCAAGACGTCGGTGACGGTCTTTAAAGACACTGCAGACAACACTCTGGGAGACATGGAGTCGTACTTGGGTGCTGTAAACGAGGTAAATGATACCCTTAATGTGTTTGAACTAGCCATTTCAAAGGCATAGCTACAAGCAAGCTGCTTTAAAGGTACTACTGAATTCAGGCCCGTTCAAATATGAAGCGGCGAACCCCTGCAAAAATCCTGCCGTTAATTAGCGTCAAGATATGGAAATGAGATGCCCACTACGCATCAAATTTACGCTTGTTAGGCAACTATCTAAACCACCCACTTAATACACTGTATTAAAGCAAGTGAAGACATAAAACAAAGTTTGTAGCACGTTCACGAAAATCATCAACAAATCTTGTATTATAAGGATATTTTTTCATGATACATGATTTTCCAGTTTTTGGTCCGATGGTATCCTGCTTTCAATGCACTATTCACAAAATTATGCATATTTAGAAAACCCATTTGGAAACATGACCAATTTAATACTGCAACACAATTTTTGTTAATGCGGTAATTTAATCATTTAGTAGCATTAAAACTAGACCTCTCATTATGCTATATTGAAGAAAGTTTTTGATAAACGGTAAAGGTAAAAAACAAATTTCTCATATGTGTGAATAGGTGATTGTAAGTTGCGGGATTAGAATCATCTCGGATCTAAAACTACTCGAATAGAATGTGTACGATTTCAATGCATCTCTAGTAAAGATGTTGACATTATTTTGCATTTGTCAAGGGTTTTCTTTCCATTTGTAATATTTTTCTTTCTAATTTCTCAACAGCAAATCGAATACATGGTGGACACGGAATATGGATATGTAGACACGTTACTGACAGAAAACTTGGAAGGTAGGTATTTTGTGTGGTCGGTTCTAGAGAATTCTTGAGAGGTGTTAGTATAGATGCTTGCCATGAGGCAAATTTCTGGTAACTCGAATCAAAGTTTTTGATTGCTCTATGAACCTTATACTATTTTTTATCGACTATAAAAAGAAATGAAAATGAATGTTAACTACAAGTTCCTGATTTGTATAGTTTTGTATCGAAGAAGCACATGATTTTCAAGAAACAGCATTTTTGTGCTTATCTACTGCGATAATGCGCATTTAGCAGAACAGTGCAACATGCTTTTAAGCTCCGTCTGCCAGCCGCACTACTAGTAGTGAAGTACGTCTAGGCTGAGTACATTTTAATGCTGTATGACAACAATGTAATGTAATGTTTTAGTTGAGAATTAGTTGAGAATGCAGTAGAATTGTTTCTCTGATTCTTGAAGAGTTTCAAACTTCAAAATACTTATATTTAATGGTATGGAACTTTGCATGAAAAGGTCTATATTTTGCGTCTTGGAACTACAGTAATGGCCTGAGCTTCATATTGAACCCCTCATTGTCTTTGTAGTCGCACCCTAAAGCCTTGTTTATATTTACTATGGTAAACTGCAGCATTAAATAAAAAAAGAAAAAATTATGTAAGTGTAATATGTTTTAGAGTTCTGTATCTTATGACACAGAGATCAGTCAATATGTGTAGGACTTTTGTTGCGTGCAGAAACCAGTCATTTACTCCTAAGAAAGAAAAAAAACCCAGCAGTTTATCACTTCGTATCTGAACGAGCCTTCAATCCTGTGCAATAAAATTATGGTGTACTGTTGCTTTCTTCATATGAAACCAATCAATGTTTGGGTTACACCTCTTTTGTTTCTTATTAGCTACTTTGGACAATACCATCTGACTAATTAGTTGCTGTTTCGATAGGACACCCATCGTCTCCTTTGTTCCTTTGAAAGTCTGACAACGTTATAGTAATGAATGCTTTTTTGTGTCTATAGAAAACAAACTATGTTACTTTCAAATGGTGTTGTTAAGAATCCATTCTGAACAACAATGCATTTGTTTTTAGTTTTGGCAAGTAAACTTAATGCATGTTGAGAGGCATCAGTACAGGGTTGCGTGCTTTGCCTCATGGCTGTATAAATTGTGCACCTTGGGGTCATGGCAGGATGTGCCCGTCCCCTTGAGCCTATAAAACAGCCAGGCTTCTCATGGCAGTCGATATCTATACTAGTGACCAGTGGCTACAGATTCACATATAGACCAGTTTTGGACCCTTTCAACTGTTACACATATAAAACAAAACAAACTAACAAAAGTATGGAGTTACATGTACTATTTTACAATAATCACATAAAATCATTTTTCCAGCATAAATTCAGATTGACGCAGGTGTATGCTTTCTACCTACACGTACCGTACATGTAATGCAATATTTTCTTGGCAAGTCTAGAAATTTTGTCTCTGGAGTGTGGAGTCTCCTGACGACTTTAAAAGTAGGATGTCACCGTGGAGTCACTGGCTCGTAACTCATTTCAAACCATTGTTAAATTGCTGGTTAACAAGGATGACTGGAAAATGATTGATTCCTACGTGGTTAGAAGGTAAAAAAAGGATTGTTGTACAACTGTTACATGTATTTCGTATTTGAAGAAAAGGGAATGAACCGTAGCTGTATCGCATCACAGAGAAAGGCGATCCAGCAGAGTTTGATAGAGATTATGAAGAATATATTTATAATATAAGGAATAAGATATGGACAGAAAGACAGAGAGAGAGAGAGAGAGAAAGAGAGAGACGTACATGAAAAGAAAAATGGAGGAAGAGGAAAGCCTAAGAGAAAACGGTCAGAGGGAGTGATTGGAGGGAAAAGGGGGAGAGAGGAAAGAAGGGAGATGTTGAGAGAGAGAGAGAGAGAGAGATAAAGAAAGAAAGAAAAAAAGAGAGAGAGAAAAAGAGAGAGAGAGAGATAAAGAGCAAGAGAAAGAGAAAGAGCATTGAGAGGGAAGCATATAAAGTGAAACATAAAAGAGATTATACATGTGAGGATCGAGAGACTGGTAGGAATAAAAACATTTGAGAAAGTATACAGGACACCGCAATGTAAGAACAAGATGGTAGGAACTGAGTAGAAATAATGGGATATAGAATAAATCAGTCACAGTCCGAGATCAGAGAGATAGGAGATCCTAGGTAATCCTGCCGGAAGTTCGGAAGAAACGTAATCCTTTGTTTCAATTGAATTAAAATGTGCGGTATGTCATCCAGATGCAAAACCTTTGCGACTATCTTGTATCTCATCTCATCTTCTTCAAGATTGCAGGGGGTTTTCTGCTGCGTTAGCACACCGGTGTGTGTCGAGAGGAGCGGATATGGCTGCCTGGAGGGGTGCAGAGTGGTATTTCATTGTTTCACCGGCGATGATAAACACACATCACATGTATCATGTCAACTCATGATGTCACCCCTGTTGACTAACTTCCTAGGCTGCCCGAAGCCCTCATGACAAATGTCATATTCACCTCTATTTTGTCCGTTTCCAGCAAGGACATCTGATTCATGCCCTTTTCGCACCGGAAATCAAATCTTTCGTGGCGACGGCATCGATCCACGCACCCCGACCAAAGCTTGGAAACACGAGTTTGGGTATTTAATATCGGGAAAGATGACAGTCGGTCTTTGATTCTTGACTGATAGATTCGCTGCAGGCGAGACAAACAGAATAGCTTAGCCTAAAAATTCAAAGATCATCAAATTTATCATCCACGTTGGAAGCTTCTGAAAAAAGAGGAGGAAGAGGAGAAGTGAAAAGTGTGCCAACAGAAGAGGAGTGAGTTCAAACCTTCTGAAACTCTTGAATATATGTGTACAAGTGTACAGCTTGAACATGGCTTTTGTAGGAGGCTGGACACAGTTCTCCTCTTGGAAATTCTGTGATCACCTGGTCTTAAAGCTAAAGAAAGATCAAAGAAAAATGAAAAGTGAGGGTGCTAGTTTGCATCGGGACGTGATTTTCAATTTATACCACTTTATGAAGAGAAAATCATGGATTTACCATTCAAACAAGGCTGAAGTACATGTACGTGTAGGAAGACTTTTTACTCTTAGAGTTTACAAATTATTACTTGATTCTGCTGCTTGCAAAGAAGAAATGTTAAAATTTGAACAAGTCCTCTTAAAAAAAAGATTTGCAGTTGTGGGGGGGGGGGGGGGTTGGAGAAAGAGAGCTAGTTTTTAGAGAAGTGTGTAGCCTTCTACTGGATGACACTTTTGCACAGATTCATTCATTATAGATAAATAGAAGCTAGACCTGTACTATTTGTAGTTTACACAAATATATAGAGGGTGATTCATGTCTTTTATATTACGTGTGAGTCATTCCTGGACCCAGTGAATATAATTGGGGGGGGGGGGGGGCTTTTGGTTAGCCAAATCAACAGGATGGTAGACTTATATTTGAGTAATCAACAAAAGAAATTGCAGGTTGTTTTATTGTTGTGCATTGTAGTCTCAAGTAAGGTTTCAGTGCCATTAAAGACCATGATTTACAGTAAAGAGAACTGGGGATTGCCAATTAGTGGGTTTGAAATGTACAGTTAAATGCAGGAAAACCCTAAACTTTTCATTTTATTAGGCCATTATTGATATTTTTTGTGATAGGGATATTAAAGATGAAAAATTGAGAGGCCTTTCAAGACCCTAAACAAATATGCATTGAAAGTGAAAACCTTGTAAAAATATTATAGGAAAAATACTTGTACATACACAGTGTGATATACATTAATAATAAAACAAAAGTGTTTTGCTAAATTCATAATGTCATCACTGTTTTGTTATTTCCTTTTACATCACAAAATATGCATGTGATGACGATTTATACCTTTGTTTTATGTTGTGAATTTCCCCATTTTCAAAGGACCTCTTTTTCTCTGTGTATTTAAGAAATAATTTCCTTGGATATTTTTGGCTTATTGGCTTTTGCTCTTGAGCTGTTTTCATAACAATGTAGCTGTTCTTTTTTCAAATGCTCTGAAGATGCCTGAAGATGGCATATGTTTACTTAACTCAGGAAACTCTCTATTTCTGTATTTGTAATTAACAAATTGATGCAATAATTGAGTATATTTCCTGTAGAATGATTGAATTACCATGTGTAGCCAAAAGGGTGGTAACTTGTGCACTGCAACACAGAGTTAATGCCCTGGATCTGAATGGATGAATGAAATTATATATTTTGTTTCTTGAAAATGTTCTCCTAATATTACATGTATTTTCAGAGGTAATGAAATCCACTTTAATAAACACCAATGAAACCATTTGTAAGTGAATTGATTTGAATGGATTTTTCAATAAATATTATGAATAACTTCTTTAGAGCATGTTGTAGATCATTATCATATAAAGACAGGAAATACTTGTACATATGAAGAGTTTGATTCCAAAAGGAGCTAAGTCCATTTTTGTAAATTCAGAGAAAAAAGGATTTGTTTACCAGATTTTGTACAGGCATTTTATGGAAGTGGTATTAGAAGGTGCATTTTTTCATAATTGCTCCCAAAATTTAGGTAAATACTTTAGTTGAAAGACGGGTACTTAAGTGAACAATGTTCTGATATCAATTACACAATTTGCATCAAAAGTGAATTTTGCTCCTTTTGGAATTAAACTCTTCATATGTAGAAAGAAGCATAGGGGGTAGAAAAGTTGAACATTCATTGGATTATTCCTCAGATCCAAAGACAAAAATGCTTTATCAAATCTATCTTCTGTGAATGAGATCAACCAGTACAAATACAACATAATATTCACCTGAATATGAAAACTTTGTCATGAATCGATTGGTGAAAATGTGGAGAAAAGTGAACAATACATGAATCAAATGTTAGAGGCTAGAGCCAGATAATCAGAATGTACTGATTTGTGGCCATACAACTAATATTGACTAATTATCTTTTTTTTTCCTTCTTTATTCTTATTTTGTCTTTAGAAATTGGAGATGAGATAGGTGGGCCTGTAGGAGATTACCTGCTCGATGAAGGGGGTCTTCAGCAAGTTCTGGATTCTATCACAAATATATCTTCCAGTAAGTAAAATAATAAAATACAGGTGACCTCTCTGTAAAGAAGTTTGATGTATTGGTACTACAGACACATATCATATAAAATAGACAGGTATTCATGCCAACTTTTGCACCCTTGCCATGCCTTTAACCCCTTGTGTTTGTTTGCCTTCATTAAAATAGAAATTACTTTGTATTCAAGAATTAATTTAGGCAGTTTCTCTTGAAAATGCAGTTTCGTAACCAAGAACTACAAATGATTTTCATCCAGTAATATCAGTATTTGAATAATTTGAATGAGCTTTTATTTGCATTCACCTGTTCTTTTTTTTCTTCATGTTTTCCCCATATTGTTTGAGATATGATACTTACAATTAAAACAAATATATTTGCAATGTATGTACATGTAGTTCAAAACATATTTTATATACAGTGAAAGATGTCTATAAAGACCACCCATGGGAGACAAGAAAGTGGTCTTTATAGGCAGGTGGTCCTTGTAGACAGGTGCCTACAGTACATGTTTCAATGAGAAACCATTTCAAGGGAAACCATAAAATGGTCTTTGTAGACAGATGGTCACTAAAGCAGGTTTGACTGTGTTTGTTAGTTTGATTCTTGTCCGTAGTATATTATATTTATTTGTTTGTTTGTTTGTTGTTTTATAGCTTTCAGCGAAATGGAGAGGGCATTGAATGAGATTGAGAGCCTTCGATCAGAGTTGATCAACCAGTCCACCATCTTGGAAAGTGAGCTAAACCAGGTGGCCACGAATCTGGATGCCATCAATCAGGAGTGTAGCACTTGCATATCAGACATAGACAAACTTGTAGTTAATGTGAACTACACAAAGGTGAGTGAGCTATACCAGAGTATTGTTTTGTGCCTGAGGAGGGAAAATTGATTAATTTAGAAAATAAGAATGGTCCGAGAGGAAAAGATAAAGTAATGAAAGGATGAAGAAATAACGTAGAAAAATCGTAACCTATGACATTGAAATAAAAAACAATGTAGGGACTTAATACAACTGTTTAGTTGTAACAGAAGAAAATCAAAACTTTAAAGTTGTATTTCCAAAAATGTAAATGAAACTGTCACAAATTTTGTGATAAATCGTATTGTGAAATATTTCAAATTGATTGAATCACAACATGAATTATTGCAACATGCGAAAGTTTCTTACCGAGAACACAGTGTATAGTTTGCGTAACTTTTATGTTACTTACGACGGTTTCTTGATTTTGACTAGTCTATCCTTTCTTGGACATAAGGCACAGATAATGAATCACGAGAGATCATATTGAATGGACTATTAGATATTTGTTTCTGGCCCTGAATGTCTCACAAATAGGATCATGATTTAACTCGTCTTTTGGCAAAGATTCATACCCTTCCGTTGAGAATTGTACACTGACCTGCCCGTGAATAATATCTTTTTCCTGCAAATTTAGCGGCAGGAAAATAAAAGTACCCAGTGATGTCCCTCGCAATTGGAACCAGTAAGAGGCCGAACCTTAAAGAAGATAGGGGGAATAGGACTACTTTCAAAGATTTCTAATACGAAAGATGAAATCTGACTCTCTGTGTTTTCATGATTTCATGATTAATTTTAGTTGATCATTTAGAACATAATCCTTATCATGCACATACAGTAGGTGTGTTACCCATAAGACATGTTTGGTCTTTAGATGAAACATTTTCTTGTATATTTTATTCAAATAGACTGGCTAAATCGCAAAATGAGAAGTTAAATGCATGCATACTGAAGCATCGATTCTTCCTCTCTGCTGTTGCATATACATACTTGTCATTCATTAAACATCCATCCCCCTGCCAACCCCCCCCCCCCCCCCCCCCTCCAAAAAAATGGAATAAATGATATACAAGAAAAAAAGAGAGGCTATAAAACTGTAACTGAAAATGGGCACTGAACTTGGATTTTTGATCAAGTACTTGTACTGTAACTGTGATAGATTCTGAAATGATAACTTGTTCACTCATATCCTTGCCAATAGCTAGATCTTTTTATTAACTTTCGGTTCTGTTTTTTAAACTAAAAATAACAATTTGTGAATGCGTTTCTATGGAAGCTGGCACAAGAATACCAAAACAAAAAAAAACAAAATTTTTGGTATTATAAACTAAAAATAACAATTTGTGAATGCGTTTCTATGGTAGCTGGCGCGAGAATACCAAAACAAAAGTACACATTCTCTTTATCCAATCTGAAATCAAAGATTTTAAATCTTAAAAGCTTTTGTTGATCCTTGCAATGTGATAAATCATTAGGTCATCCAGAATTACCCAAAATAATGTAGTGTTATTATGTTTCTAGGGCAGCTGGCACAAAAAATATCAAAACAAGTCTCTACTTCTCTTTGTCCATGATACTCAAATATGCAAGTCATTTCATCTTAAAAGGATATAGCTTGCCTATGGATTTTGATTTAATATTAGGACTTCACATCGTCCCAATTTTGGTTTTCCTTAATCCCTAGATCTACTGAGTCTCTTGGCTTCATGGTAAGGCCCAAATGGATTTACCTCTTTTTGTTGTTGAAATCGACCAACTATTATTAGCAATTGTATTACTTTATGGTCATTGATTACATCGGTAACTAAGAGTGCAGCCAACTTGTAAGGAAATCTACATGCAAGTTGTTGTTTTTCATGAATCAGTAAAATGTTGGTAGCATTTTACCCTTTTTAGATTTTAAAATGGAGGTTTACCGATTAAGTTATGGGGGGGGGGGGGGGGGGGGTCAGGGAATGCAATTGTAAAAAAGTTAATTCTTAACAGCTTTTATAAAAGTAGTATGGAATGTAAGTGAATGTGACATACATGTATACCTAATAATATTCATGTAATGATAATAATATTACAAAAATATTGGATATTTTTATAGCGCACATATCAACTAGGCAATGTACCCAAGGCTCTGTAATATTATCCCATCTCTGCATGGCTACCATTGTCAGTGCTTACAGCAAGGAGTTCTTTCCTACCGGTACCCATTTAACACCTGGGTGGAGAATGGCAAATGTAGATTAATGTCTCGAGATAATGCCTTAATCGTAATAATGCATAATAATAACTATAAAAAAAAGATTGGATACAACAACAAAAAATAGTTAAGATTCAATTTCGATTTTGATTCGAAGACTGGCAAAGCAGCAATTTTAAAAAAAAACACCCAAACTTTGTGATCTTATTGCTAATATGAGAAAACTCAGAGAGTAGCCTACTCTTGATCAGAAGAAATACACAAATGTATTACTTGTAACTACATTGTGCTGAAAAGAGAGGTTGTTTTTAAGCAGACCAAAACAATAGAGAAAGTCAAGGACAAGGAAATGGCTAGATACTCTCAAGAAACCTATAATATCTGGTCATTTCCATGATTTAATCCAAAGAATATTGTGTGGTAACCTCCATGATTCATACAAAGCTATTTTTTGACATTTGATAGGGATTACCTCCTAAATTCTCCATTTCCTTAATTCCTTTCCATCGAGACATATCTCCTGTTATTCAATCCAACCTTTGTCTTATGTTCAATTGTGTGAAAGCAGAAATATTGGGGAAAGATGTTGGTGAATTTTAAAATAGAAATATGACAAATACAGCTTAAAAGCTGAGATCGTTGGGTCTATTGGAATCTTAAAATGGGCAGATTGATCATAAAACTCTCATATTTAAGGAAAACAAATTCCCGTAATTATTCTATTTCTATATAAAGTTGGAAGAAATTCAACTTCAAAATATTTGAAAGCTGAAATCTGTCATTAGGCAATGCTGTATTTGTTTGTGTAAAATTTCACATTTCTTTTTAAGTTAGTTTCTCCTCGGGGCTAAATTTGATATGGATCGCATGGTGTTATGCATCCTTCTTGGGGGGATTACAATAAGATTTTACTGAGCAATTGAATTTCAGGAAAACATGATATTTTGTAATTTTGTACGTTGAAGAGGGGAGCAATAAGTTAACATTTCTAAGTTCACGCATTATAATAAACTATCAACAATCTATACATTTCCACTGTTTAATAACTAAAGTCACGTGTACCAAATTTGTATGCAAGTCATATAAAATACTTAAAATTAATACAGGGTGTATGTTTGGGAAAAAATGGTAGACATTTCTTTGGGCAAAATAATCGAAATTCAATTTCAGAATATTTTTTTTTACAAGGGTATTTTTTATTTGTCATCATTGACCTCTGTGTTTAATATAAGCACATGTTTTTAATTTTCTTGGATTTTGAAAAGATGCTGTCCCTTTCCTCGAGAAGGTCCAGAAAATATTGTTTTCATGACAAGAATGATATTAGTTCGATTGTCTTTCGACCCAAACAAATTTGACAATAATTGGTGGCAACAGCTTGGCTGGTAGACTATAGATCGTATAGCACTCCTTTGAGTTCCTATATGCCATGGGTGATTTAAAGTGTTAATCCTTGAGTGCGCTATGACTACATTTTCACATGCCCGCAATTATGTTTCTTCAACTGTTTTTTTTTCTTTCCTGACTCCTGGCTGGCGAGTGTCAAGTTTTCACAAAGAAACATCAGACCGTCAGACGTACTGTCATCCCTTATCATCATTAACACTATGCAATGCAACATTTTGCCTGTTTGATGTTTTTGAAAGTGTCGAGGGTTTTTATGATGACTTCTTGGCCAGACTTCTGTTTTTTTTTCATGTCTTGCATTTCTTTAATTGATCCCCAAGAGAGAAAAAAAAGAAGAGAAAGAAAGAAAGCAGACGGAATAAGAAGAAAATGGTTTTAATTTATTCCTACAGTGCAGTTGTTGAAGGTCTAAGCAATGACACAAATTTTCTTTGTTTATGTCTTTCTATAACCCTCCCCCCTCCCCCCCCCCCCCCCCCCCCCCCCCCCCCCCTAGAGCTCAGCAATAAAACAAAAGTTATACCTACAAGGTATATACAGTGTACATGTAGATATCAGTACAAATTGCAATCAACAAAATTTGCAAAAGTATAAGATAATGCAGAAAATGTTGATTTGTTCATAATTCTTTGAATCAATATTTGTAAATCTATGCTTGTATTAAAGATATGAGTTAGTTCAAACCCTTGGAAGATTTAAAAGTAAATCCAAATGCAAACAAAATATACTTTAAGACTGAGTGTAGTACGCCATTTCAAACAAAATTTCAAGAAATATTGGTGTCATCAGCAAATTACGTCATATCTTGCCACAAAATATTTTGATTTTATTGTATAATACAATGGTTTTACCGTATTTAATGTATTGTAATGTTGTATGGGGCAACACATACCCAACGAGATTACAACGACTGCATATATTACAAAAGCGTATAGTAAGAATATGTCTTATGTCTGATTTCAATGCCCATTCAATACCATTATTTCAACAACTACAGTTTTTAAATATTTTTCAATTGAATCAATATTGTATATCACTCATGGTTTTTAAACATAAAACTGATAAACTGCCGATTAATCTTACCACTATGATGAAATGTAAAAAATATGTTCATAATTATAATACTAGAAATCCTGATAACTATTTTATTGAAAAATGTCCATCAACAAATTCCTTATTTACTTTTAGACACACTGGCCCGAAAATATGGAATTCCCTCCCCAAAGATATACGTGATACTGCTTTCTTAAACTCTTTTAAATCTAAACTAAAAAAATACTTCATCTGTTTTTAAATCTATAATAATATTTGCATGTTAATACGTCTCCTATGTTTTGTACACTGTTTTGTTATTGTTATACTTTTTATAGCCAATTGTTGGAAGTTGTATATGTATCTTTTAATAACAGGGAGCTGCCTCGACAGAACCTTATGGTTTTATTTGCAGTTTCCCCAATTCATTTCTATTGCTGTTTAACTTTTTATAATTCCGATATATTTGTAGACATGTATCCATTTTGTGTGTATTTTGTGTTTTCTATATTGTATATAATCTGTATCTTATATGTTTTTTATGGACTTGAATTGAAATAAAACTTGAACTTGAACTTGAACTTAAACTCTTACTTTTACATATTTTAAAGTGTAGAAAAGTATTTTCAAGTTTGTGTCAATGATATGCAATAATGCATAAAATCAATCACTAAACATGATAGTTTGACTCAAATACATGTACATGTACTGGTATATTGAACCAATTGCAAATTATATTTATCATTTTTTAAACCTGGGCATTCCTCATTGCCTGTAATTCATGATCATCTGCAAAATATAAAACTTCATTTGTCACTTCTCAAAGTACATGTAGCTTGTATTTTAAAATAGGATGCTGTCGTATTGGATCATAAGTATCGAGCGCAGTAGCGGCATGGTGGGTTTAGGCCAGCCAATACTCGTAGGGGTGATTGGCAGGAAAGGATTAGTTTAATTGATGCCTAAACCTTTTAATTCCTGAAGATATGTCGAGCTTGGTTCCTATCCAGAATGTCTGATCATGCAGCACACTAATGTATGGTCTGCTCCAGGAGGAAATATGCGGGAATATTATGTGTGGGTGAAGATCATTTATGATGTTTCAAGATTATGAGAGTCAGAAGTTTTAAATGCACATGTATTCAGTTGAGATAAAGTGCCTGTTCCTGTTATGTTTTACAAATTACAAGCAACCACTTGCAAATGAAATGAAATGAAAACACCAATTTTGTTCTTGTGCCAACAAAAGTAAGATAAAAATTAAGAAGCCAATTAATGAACATGTACCACCCCCAACTTTTGCACTTCCCTGTGGCATTTGAAATGTTCACTTTTACATAACAAGTATAATATTGTAGTGAGGGAGGGGACTGGGAATCAAATAATTGAAGTTTACATATTTTTTTAAAGCTCTCTATTAATATTTTCTTTGTCCAATATACATGTACATGTACATGCATTTTTGGATGCAATGGGGTGGGGTTATAAAAGGAGAACTTAAATGTGATGATCCCTGTTTTTCTTGATATTTTTATATATGTGCCAGATAACCTTGGACCTGCCACTTGGGTCATTTATATATATATTTTTTTTTTGGGGGGGGGGGGATGAAAAAAGGAACTAAAAATGTGATGCCTTTTTGTCTTGAAAATTTCATGTGTCCCTGGCCAGATAATCTTGGACCGGCAACGTTAATAGTCATTGACATTAAAATTTGCATATTTTAAAATGTTTTCAACAGAATATGAGTTGAGTTGAGTTGAGTTGAGTTGAGTTGAGGTTTTATTATCCAAACGTTCAAATACATGTACATAACAATAATAACAATAATAAATGTATGTTTAACAAATATATTGTCATATACATGTAATTACTGTGAATCACCACCATATACTGGAATCATATTTTATCTTTCCTTTTTTTCAGTTGCCTTCTGTAGAGACGCAGATAGATGGAGTTGAAGAAGCGAGCATGTTGGCTACAAACATCACCGTGGAGGTAAGAATGTTGTACGAGCAGTCATGAACGATGAACCGAATATCCTGGAAAATATGTTCTGTTGGCAGCGGGCCTATATATTGTAGGTTGAAATAATGTGTTTTTTTGTGCTTAGCTTTGTGAAGCAATCTAGATGATTGGCAAGCTAAACATTGTTGCTTGAGCAACGTATATGAACTATGCTAGTGGGTAGGATTTAAATTTAAAAAGATTCTTCCAATGTGAATTGTAATTTCTCGTTAGTTTTCACGTTTCCATCTTAGTGAACATTCCAAGTAACCTTGAAATATACATTAAAAGCAGTTGTTTACCCCCCAAAAAAGATAAACAAACAAAAACAAACGGAGAAAAAAAGAAAGGACCCCCACCCCCTACCACAAAATAGTCGCACATATTATGCCTATATGTACATGTTAATGAATTATTCACAAGGTGAAAAGCATACAGTCAAAGATGATTATTTAGATCAGGGACCTCATGATCGATCGTTAACATTTATTTTAGTCTTCTCTAAATGAGTCACAGAGGTATGGCTTGTTAGTGTTGTCATGCAAACAGTGCGTGTATATGGTGCAATTTTTCTTCATTTCTTTAACCATTACCTCATTTTCAGGACCCTTTTATTAAAGTACTTGGCTATGTGGGGGAAAAGAAATCAAAACATCTGTTGTTCTCTCTTGTTCCTCACCCTACCTCACTCCTCAATAAAGAAAAATGCACAGATGATTTATAAGGATTATTTGAGATTGAAAATGCTTACGGCCAACAAGGATTGTTTGGTTTGGGGACCTCATGATGTTACAATTGTATTCATTTTTATTTTGGTCTTTTTCTGAATGAGTCAGAGAAGTGAGAGCTCTATGTGTCTGGGGATCACTGCATTACTTCATGACTACATTTGTTAGGTTCACACGGCACTATGTTCACTTTAAGTTAAAGGTCGTGGCTTTAAACTTTGAAGATATCTTTCAGTTAATGACGCACTTATGGTTACACAAATTTAAGTTTACTTGAAGTTACAGACCAGAATGATCTTTAGGTTAGCATAATGCTATGAGCAGTGGAGGTTCTCACTAGAGGTTATGTACCATGCAGATGCAATTAACTTTGAGGTTGGGCCAGCTTAATCTTAAAGTTAAAATGACTGTTTGCCTGGATTGTAGTTTAAAACCTGAAACTAGTTGTTTTGGTCTCGTATGAACCCTCCTAAATAGTGGATCATGGTGTATAGCTTTGAGGTTTCACAAACTTTAGTTTAAAACTACCATGGTCCCAGGTGAACATATCTATTGTTATCCACTTCGAAAGTTCATTCCACAACCTTTTGTTGAATAATGAATGATTGTGGTTGGAGCGATATTTGATTTATTGTCTTCTTTCCTGTTTCATTGACACATTCTCTAGGTAACCCTATCACCCCCATCCCACCTTACCCCTCTCCAATTAGTCAGTTAGTAAGTTTGCTGCTTCCTGTTTCTATTTTCACTTTAGGACCCCTTTTCCCCAGTTTGAACAGTATCAGCATTACTGTTTTTATTTTTGTTCCATCTGTTCTGCTTCATGAGCATGGTCTCTAGAAACTCCTCTCCCCCATCCCTCCTTTCCCTTCCTCAATTAGCTACATGTAGTTAGTAATGTTGTTGCTTTCTATTTCTATAATTCTATTTTTTAATTATTTGGGACCCCCTTTTCCAGTTTGAACAGTTGTAGCTTGAGCAATATTTCTCTTGCATTGTCTTCTGCTTTATGAGGATGGTCTGAATATGCCCCTATCACGTCACCCCCTCCCCCTCTACCCAAAGTAGCTGATTAACGAGTTTGCTGCTGTGTATTTCAATAATTCTGATTTTGGTGTGAGAATATTTGTCCGATTGATCATTTGTGGTTTCGGCATTATTCTGTTTTATTAACTATTTTTTATTTACCATAATTTTGTTTGGATTGATTATCAGTATTATTGTTCGGCTTCAAAATATTAGGCCCTATGCCAGACCTGCCAACCAGTACGATTTAGTTGTATTTCGTACGATTTTTAGAAGCAAATACGACAGTATGATTTTCCTCAATAAAATGCGATTTAAAAAAAAAAAAGAAAGAAAGAAAGATTCTGTCCTATAAAGTATCCTACAAGCATCTGACATCGGCAATTTGGGGATGTTAATTGGTTCATCAAACACCAGTCGTGACGAAATCGTGCATATTCAACCAACGATCCTTAAAAAAAATTCTTTCTGTATGTAGGAACTGTAAGATGCATTGATCCGTGTTACAGTCTGTGTTCATTTTTAAGAATACAACTTTTGTCAGTAAAATACAACTTTTGGGATTAAAGAATACAGTTTTTGAACTCCAGAGGTTGGCAGGTCTGCTATGCACCTCATCACCCTTACCCACCCCTCCTAGCCAGTGCAAAGTTCATGGTTTTGTTTAATTTAAAAATATAAAAAAATATCTTAGTAACTCACTGCTATGTTTAGACATAAAGAAAGGATCATTTTGTAATTGCCAGGAGTTCTAATAAGTTTCTTTTCCGAAGTTGTAGTAAGTTTCTTTTCCGAAGTTTTAATACGCTTCTTTTCCGAAGTTCTAATAAACTTCTTTTCCAATGTGATATTTCATACCCCCCTGAGGGAGTATATCTACATTGATATCTGCTTTACATGCATCTTTCTTTCCTTTTTTGTTACAGTTCATGATTTTTTTCCCTCCAGGAATTCTTGGCTGTCGTTTAGAATAAAACAGGGGAAGATGATATTGACAAGCAATAACGAATGCAGGAGATATGCTAGTTAATCTTAATCACTTATGAAACCAACCCCCATCAAAACTGTCCCCAATTATTCTCTCCTAAGTTAATCTCCCCTACCATCTACCGGTACATGTTGTAGCTGTCAGATATGCACTAATATTTGGTTAAATTCTGCTTATAAGGGACTGCGTGACTTTTTATCTTTGTCTCCGGAAATTCCTTGTTGCAATTCTAAGAAAAGGGGGAAATAGGAACAAAGCACATGAGACTTGCTAATTTTGATAAAAACTTATCTGTGAATGAATCTTTGCCACCATGCATGAAATTCAATTGTTTTCTGTTTCTTCCAAACTGTCATTCCTGTTTATCCAATTATGGTGAGATCTGCACGATAATTACTTGGTTCTCTTTATTTTCATGAACTTGCATGATTCTATCTGAGATGCCAGTCATTCCTGTATGTAGCTCAGAAAAAACAACGACTACCGGTAATGGGTGAGAGGCACAGGAGATATCGTCTGTTGATGCAGAACGGTATTGAGTAATGAACTGTAAGAAAGAGTCGACGGCCTCCTGTTTCCAAACGGATGATATATTGATTGAGCTTGCTTATCAGATGATCAAACACTAATCTCTTATCTTATTCATCTACCAACTAATAATGATATCATATTTGATACTCTCAACTACTCTGATCGAAAAGAGGTACCCTTTCTCCGACCTCCATGAAAGCATATCTCCTACCCTCTCCCCCTCCACCCCTCTCCCTCCACCCATCCCCTCCTTACCGCACCCCTCTTAATACTTTTCTCTAATCTTATTCATCTACCCATTAATAATGATATCATAATTGATACTCTCAACTACTCTGATCGAAAAGAGGTACCCTTCCTCCGACCTCCGTGAAAGCATATCACCTACCCTCTCCCCCTACACCCCTCTCCCTCCTTACCGCACGCCTCTTAACCTCCCATGCGATCCCCTTGAGAATTCTCTCCCATTATATTTTAATAATAATAATAATTATCCTTGCTTATATAGCGCCTAACACTTATTTTTATCAGAAGTCTCTAAGTGCTCTACAATAATGCAGCATTCATCATCTCATTGATAAAGAGATCTTCAGTGATACTCTCTACCTTCTAGTCGAATGGAAACACCCTCCACCCCTCCCCATCGCACTCCTCTCCCTCCCCACAGCACCCCTCCTATGCGCCCCTTGGGACGTAATATAGTGGTTCCTCTGCGCATCCTCGTCAGGAACCATTTGGCACCCTCCTTTCCTGCTTACCCCTCTGGACCCCGTCTCCAGCGCCCTTCTCTCCAGCAGCTTTCGAATCTCTGCCATCCCTGTTGTGTCGTTACGTCTTCCCCAGTTGAGTCATGGGCAGACCCCATTCTGTCACGTTGCTCTAACGATAATCTTAAAGTTCTGGTGATAATGATCATGAAATCGCAACAGAATGAATGAATTGAATGTTACAAATAATTAAAAACTGCCAAACAAGTTTAAGAGAAAATGTGAAAATTTTAAAAATGAAGAAATTCAGATGATGGCCAAATCAATGAAATAAGTATTGTCCCATGTATGTATATCTATGTTGGTGCATTTCTGCTTTATTCATTTTCAGCAGTCTTAATTGCTTCCAAACGACCTATTAAATGTACATGAAGTTGCATGATAAAACATTTAAAATAGCTTAAAGGTTACCATTCAAGCTATAAAACATTGTAAAATAGATAATTTCTCCCTTACCCAACCCGACATCCTGTAACACTGAGATTCATTTAAAAAACATGACATTGTAATTCAAACTTTTGTAGATGGGTCGGTAGCGGGACATTAAATCACAGAGGCATTTCTAATTCCTAGAGGAAAGGTGCGTGCATGCTCAACGTAAAAAAAAACTAGGATTAGGAGAACCATGTCTAGTGGGACATATCAAATTTTTATATCCACTTGATATCTTATTCAACCTGTTACATTTTATTCACATTCGTTGTGTGGTCTTTGACGATACGATACTTGAGATTGTATGATGCATGTCTGTGACTGTTCATCGAAAGTTCATGCTGATTCCAGTCATTTTTTTATTGTGTGTGTGGAACATGAGTGCCGTAGGGAGCATCGCACAAAATGAATTATTCATGAGTGAAACTGATTGTAAATCCCTATTGGATTTGAGGAAATTATTCAGCGATTGTATTGCATCCATTTATTAAATCCATTTCATAAGATGAAATTTCAGGAAATTGTTGAATGATTGCGTGCAGTTGTTATTCCAAAACTGTTTTGAACCCAGATAACCTTGAGAGCATTAGTATGAAGATTTGAAAAGGCAAACATGAACTTTAATGCCATAAAGTCATATATTAATCATTTAGTTATGTATTAAAGAGACCTTCTCCCACCTTGCATGTACTTTACATTGTAGTTACTTCACTTCAGTAAATTTCAATATCAGATCCTATTTTTTATATGTTTATACAATTTAGCTCGATAGGAATGCGTATTCAAACTTATAAAACTGTATACATGTTGATGTACTTGCAAATGTAGATTCATTGTTAACGCTCAGAGGCTTCTTACTTTGAATTTCTTGTTTTGAAAATCACTGCCGTTAACGGTTCCCGAAAGGTTCTGATACTGTATCCAAGTATAATTTTATGTACTTTCAATTTTTAATGTACCTGCATGTTCATTATTTTTGGACAATTGCTTTAATAGATCAATGCTATACAATTAGTTAATGTTTAATCAATTGAATCATTTTCTTCAACTTTTTGTGTATTTCTTTATTTTTTAACAATTGTTCTAATAGATCAATACCGTACTAGCGGACATTCCAAGCCAAATCACGGACATGACAAGCAATGAAGTACAGGATGCTCTGGTCCAGCTTGATGCTGCAGAGAAGGAAGTAACAGATGCCTTTGACGGCATCAATAAAACAATATCAGATGTTAGTTAATTTAATTTTATTTTATTTCTGCATTTTTCCAAATATAATAACTGAATAACAAAGTACATATAAACCTAAGGTATGATACAAAATATAAAAACAATAATAACTTCATGTCAAAATGTTTTTTTTTACATATGTACATATAATAATGAAACTTAATATTTCTATAATAATAAATTTGAAGTATTATCCAAACAAAGTCATAAGCCATGCTTGAGTAGGATGTCGGCCTCTTCTCCTTACCTTTCATACAATTTACTCTCGTTGTCTCTGATCACATACGACAACGATATTTTGTGTTGTGTATTAAAGTAGAATATTTTATTCTGAACCAATGTCAGAAGAGAGAAATGTGATTTCTTGAAGGACTTGTTAAAAAAAATGTGTGATGAAAATGTTATGATGTGGTTAAAGGGATTGTGTATCTTTGTCTCAGATTCTGAACCAAAATCCTTGATTTAGCTCATGCTGCAATGATAATTATAAACCTTAAGGTCAGTCAGGAACCCCATGACTTTTACAATCCGATCACCTGTCTGATTATCAAGATATTTATAATTGGAAATGGAAATTTCAAAATTCCTTTTCCTAACGGTTTTTATAACACTACAGTCTATTGGGGAAAATGAGTATGGTACCGGTAACTCAAAGATTTTTTACTTTTTTGAGGCACTTCATAATCGTTTTGAAGCCCAATTTTGTTAGGGCTTCAATATTTACACCTTATAACAGACACTGATTACACTGAGGGCCATGCATCTCAGACCACCTGCCTATAAAGACCGCTTCTCTTGAGAAGTCTTTATAAGCAGGTTTCTCTGTATCTATCATTGTTAAATTGTGATTGCTTTGCTTTGCTTTGTAGTTTGTGGGAACACTTTCAGATGCCAAGGGCCAGTTGGACGACTCATGGGAAGATGTCACAGTTTACTCACAATATATGTAAGTACAGTCAAAGTTTGGTTCCTGAGAAGGATGCTAAGAATTTCATGGATAGAAAGAGTTTTTAATAATGAGGTATTTACCATGGCAAGATCAAAACGAAAGCTTCTGAATAATATAAGAGGTCGACAGCTGAGCTTCTTGGGCCATGATATTCGGAAGAATGGTTTGGAAAATCTTGCACTGACTGGAAGAATTGAGGGGAGGAGAAGTAGGGGTAGAAGGAGGATTCTGTGGATGAGTAGCTTAAGGAGTGGGATTTCTGAAAGTGCAATTGATCTTGGTGAGAGTGAATATACTTCATAGAATATGGGACAGAGAGTTGTGGCATTCCATGGTCGCCAATGTCTCAGGACATGGCACGCAAAGAAGAATATGTCAGAGTGTGCATGAGATTGTCTTCATATACATATACATAAAAAATAAATAGTAATTATATCTTTGAATGTTAGGCTTCTCTTGGAGAAGTTTCAACTGTTGTAAAGAAATTTTTGGCTTGCACCCGGTAGATAAAGAACGCGTGCTCGATCTTATGATTGAAAACAAGTCAGAAACAATCTTGAAACCAGTTGGATTCGAGTCTGCCATCTATTGCGCCATAGACCAGTGAAATAGACTAAGTCAAATACTAACTGATAAGCATTGTGACATCACACGGTCAATCAAAAGTAGTGCGCAATAAACGCGTTGCAATAAATGCGCATTGATATAATTGTGCGCAGATTATAATACTACGTGAGAAAACAATTTGCCTGCCAATCAAGGCCTCCAAATAATTGGTCTGGTAGGGAGCTGTCTTAAATATAGGGTAAAATACTTAGCCAAAAGTTTGAATTGAATACCAAAATTGGCTAAGTATTTTATAAGCCAAAGCCAAATACTAAGTAAAAAGCTTAAATTTTGTACTTAAGTATTGAATTGAATACCGGCCCTAGCAGGGAAAAAAAATACTTAAACAATTTTGGGGGCTACTTTTCAAGCTTGCTTGCATGAAAATAACACTCTTTAATTTGTTTTGCATTGAATTCTATGCAAATTTTTTTGGGCTCTTTTGGGCATTTCGGGGGCTAATTTGCCCGGAGCCCCGTGTATTTTTTTCACTGGGCCCTGGCTCTCGACATTCATTGTGTTGTTGTTGTTTTTGTACAGGTACTATGCGTTGATAGGTGTGACCTGTACAATCCTGCTGATCATCATGTTCAACCTGATCGGCCTTACCATGGGTACCTTCTCCTACAAGGACGTTCATCCGATGGAGAGATCTAGGATGTCCAACGCTGGTGGCAACGTCCTCATGGCGTGAGTAACACAACTCTTCCTAAGCCATTTTTTAAAGCCCCTCTGTACTACTCTTGTAGCTACTTGCTCCCTCTATTTAGAAAACAATGCCTAATCGGTGCCTGTTGGTCCCCCATGATCCTCTTTTTCTTATGTCAATCGAAAGCTGAGTTGATGAGATAGCCACCTGTTGGTGACCTCCCTGGGTGGTCTAATCCCTCCTGTCCACACTAGTACAGACGGGCTTTAAAGCCTATCTGCACTAGTTTGGCCAGGACAAATTAGACCTCCCTGCATGGTCACCGACAGGTGGTTATCTCATCAACTCGGCTCTCGATTAACATAAGAAAAAAGGGGACCATAGGGGGCAAACGGTCACCGCTTAGGCATTGTTAGCTATATAGAGAGTGCAAGTAGCTTTAAGGAGTGCAGTGGGGCTTTAATAATAATAATAATAATAATAATAATAATAATAATAATAATAGCCTAATAATCCACTCCAAATTTTATTAAACCGAAACGGAATATCCGAGAACCATTTTTCTTCTTCTTTTTTAATTAAAAAAAAAACTTGTTCGGTAAAAGAATCATTTCTGTGGATGTCCAAATTTCTTCTTCAAAAATGGTGACATCACTTTGATTGCAGACGAGATAAGGAATGACCTAAGATCCCTTTGACCTACATTCCGAGGTACATGTAGGCCACCCCCGGGGTATGTATCTGTCTGAGGCTACTGACCAGAACCCCTGTCAATTGGATCACTCGCTCTGTTGACTCAACTTTACGATCGTGGCGTGAACTTTAAAGACCGTGTAGTAGTGGGCTCTCATGGGGTATTCGACACCACTTTGATGCTTACCCCATAACAGGTGTTGTCAATCCCCAGGATTAGCATTGATTTTTATGAGCAACATGTATGTAATATTATAAGATGATGAAGCGGATCCTAATCATAGATTGGTTGAGAGCGTACACGTGACCAGGCATTTATTTTGCCTAACACGTAATTTTGATAATGACCAGTCATTAGTAAATAATAATGACCAGTCATTAGTCATCAGTAAAATCATGTTATCAAACAACATTTTATAGAACAAAGAAAAAGACATCATCTTATAAAAAATATTGTACACATCGTTTTGTTTAGGCATTAGTAAAATTACCCACACTCGGTACCTTCGAAACAGTCCAAACACCCTCGGCTATCGCCAAAGGTTCATTGTGTGGGTATTTCTTACTACCGGTAATGCCCTCACTGCTGTGTATTATTTGTATCTATGCATTTTCCACCAAATCGCCCCATGTGGAAAAGTTATCTTACATTTCCCTCACCTCTATTAACATGTGGCTTTTATAAACGGGTTTGACAACACATAATTCTTCTTAGTGGGGTCTGTGTAAGTGACCACTATCTAGACAGGTAGCCTTTATAGACAGGTTGACGGTATTGACATCCAGTGTGTCAATCTATATGAAAGAATCTACATGTTCATGGGTTGTATGTTTCTGGAGATCATCATCGATATAATTCATTTGCCAGTTACCTGTATGTGCGATGCACGAAAGCGATTCTTCTTATGCTTTTTGAAAGTTTGGTCAAGAGATTAAATAGCAATTTCCGCTGTGTCCCAAGGGATTCCTTCGCCCTGGAAATATCTCTCCTTAGCCACAGAGGGGGCCTTCCCCAACCTCAAATTCCACTTGAACTGTCGCGGTTTGATTTACGAGAATGTGGAGCATCCTGACGTTTTCCATACTTTCACGCCAACTCACTTCCTTATCAGTATCATCCAGAAAGATAAAGAGAGAAATCAGCGTCCAGTGCGGTGTCCTTTGACAATTGACCATTGACCAATCTTTCCTGTGACCATCTAAAGCAGTTGCTGTGGTCAGTCAGGGACAAGAATTTCTTGGCACTATCGAGGGTGCTTTGTGTAAGCTTTTATAGAGGGGAAAGTGATGTATACTGTAATCGAGAGAGGGTGCAGGCCTGCTTCGTGAAGCTAATAATATCAACATTTTGATTCTTAGTCATGTAATGATTTAGAATCAAGTGAACTTTGTGTTCGAACATGTGGAGGTATTATGCTGTCATTAGTTAATGGAGTGTAGTCGCATGGATCCGTACATGTCCCAACCAATGTAAATGTTAATTCTTACTAATTTTGAACGTAATCCTATCGTAACATCCTTTGGCAAGACCTTTATATCCATTTGCCACACTCCACCCAGGAGTATGATTGATACCATTTTTATACGAAACAGCATTTTATGAGTTCTTGCATGCCTTGAATGCCTTCAATTTTAGGGATGTCCAACTAAAGACAGAATAACAATCTCCAAAATCCTTGGGAGTGCACAGAGATATTGCTCCATAAATATGCCTTGTATATGAAGAGAATATTATTACAGTTTAAAGCCCGTCTGTACTAGTTTGGCCAGGGGGATTAGACCTCCCTGCAAGGTCACTGACAGGTGGCTATCTCGTCAAATCAGCTCTCAATTAACGTAAGAAAAAGGGGATCATGGGGGACCAATGGTCACCGATTATGCATTGTTTGCTATATAGAGGGCGCAAGTAGCTATAAGTAGTGCAGTAGGGCTTTAAATGGTATTGCTTAATCCTAACACTCCTCTATCATGCACCTGTATCTCTCTACCTAAATGCCTGGCTAATCACATTACAAATCAACCTGTACCTCTTGATGGGATCCGTTGACACCTGAACATCCCAGTACAGGTGCAGTAGCCCACAAGACGTGGCAGAGACATGAAACGCAAGTGTCACCACAAAAAAAAAACAACCTTTGTCAGCATCGTCTGTAGGATACAAACCACTTAGCCTTTAGGTTCCTCATTACGACCTTTTGCCATAGTGATGATTCACAAGAGGTGATCGTTTTCTAGGGTATTTTTTTTTGCAAGAAATTTGTCAATTAGGCTTCCTCAATGAATTTAATCTATGTGTATGACACATATTTTTCAGTGTGTCATTTTTCAACGGTTATGAAGTTATGAAATAGAAATGTTGTGAAGAGTTGTAAAATAGGAAGGAAAACAATGCACAGTGTGATTAGGATAATACAATGTGATGATTGGTATAGAAAATGACATTGTTTTTCAGTTATGATGAAAACTTACGTTTATATTACCTGACTGTTGAGAGCGAGCGCAGTATGCTTTTGGTCGTATGGTTTTTAGTTCTATCTGAGGGACTGGAAAACTGAGGACTAATGCCATTAAGACACAAGCACATTAACCTTCTTTTGAACCTGAACCACAAGTCTACTACTGTATAGCCATCAGTCCTCTTAGTTTTTATTATAATAATAAAAGTTGGTTCCTGTATAGCGTTCATGTCTGTCAGACTTGACTCTCCTGGTGCTCCACAATTATTACCACAATATGGCAGCCTTGCATTTCAAGGAATTAATTCCTTCCAGGTACCCGTTTACCTCACCTGGGTTGAGTGTGGCAAATGTAGATCAACGTATTGCCAAAGGACATGGTGCTGCGGCGGGACTAGATCCGCGAACCATGTGATCCACAGTCCGGTGACGTACATGTATCCAATGGACCAGGACACCTCTACATAGTTTTATACTTATATCCCATGGAGCAAAAACACTGTCATACTAAAAGTGAACTTATGACTATCGCAGTCCAAGGAGATATAACTTAATTGTCCACTTGTTTGAGCCAATCAAAATGTGGCAGCGGTCAAGCAAACTAATTTTCCACCTGCTGGTGTTGGCAAGCAATTGCACATACTCAACTATATTTGGTCAAATGAAGGGCACAAGTATTGGCAGATACATGTGTGTGCATACTGGGTAAAAGGTCGTCTTCAGTACATAACAGTGAAAGTAATACAGAAATTAAGGGATTCTACTGAAATACTGTATCCTCATCTTGCACTCATCAGAGTGTTGAATTAAAATCTAGAGCCAAACAATAGTAATCTTGGAATTAAAGTGCATACAAAGTTTTATGTATCCTAGAAATTAAGTGATGTAGTGTTCTTGTTTGGGATGACCCAGTAGAAATTTTAAAAAAATTATCCATTTTTCAAAACAAAACAAAACAAACACACTCCCCTCCCCCTGAAATGCAATAAATAAATAAAGAGCAAAGATAATAATAACAGTATTAAAGATATAAAAAAAAGCAAAAGAGCAAAAGACACACCCGAGCAGCTAGAATTTTAATATTTCGCAACTTTTTACATACATTTGTCAAAGACAGCTCTCTTCATTTTAAATTTTATATCCACTGTTCAAACACACAACTTCTGGAATTACATGTAAATGTATGCAGAATTGTACATTTTTATGAATTATCAGATGAATCTGAAAAATCACTGTGAGCTAACAATATTGCAGACATCCTTTAAAACTTGTACACTAAGAATTCTAATCCAGAAAAAATAGGTATCCTCAAAACAGGATGTACTTCTATGAAAACTGGAGGTACAAAAATTACCACGCTAATGCTTTGCTGACACGGTTGTTTGGAAGGGATCTTGGCAAAATGCAAACAGAACAACGTTTTTTATGCTTGTCATGTTCATGGCAATGTCCTGGTAACGGTGTTTGGAAACACACAATCCAATCAATCAACCCATTCCCCTATCCCCATCATTATTAGATCCAATCAGGCAGCTAGCCTCTGTCAGACTGTAGGCGCGTCTTCATTATCTCGAGTTTGCCAAATAGCCCGCTATTTTTGATTTGGGAAATAATCCCAAAGTTATAAATCGCGTCTTCATCAGCTTGAGATTCGACCTCGAAACTTGAAACTCGACCTTGAGATATTAGTGCGATTCTTCGGTCTGGTGAAGAAGCACTGGACAAATAGCTGGGTATTTTGCCAAATAGTCGGATATTATGCAAACTACATGTATCCCAAGATATCTTGGGATGACAATCCCGACCAAATATCCCGCTAATTGGAACTTTGGGCTGATGAAGACGCAAATTAGCTGGATAGTTTGCGATCAGGATAGTTCAAATAGCGGGATATTTGGCAATCTCGAGCTAGTGAAGACCGGCCTTGTGAGACAGGCCTTGTGAGACAGCGCTGTTCGTGCTGTTTACCAAGTTTATACTTGCGGCCTGAGTGGTTATTAATTGCAGATCAAGGAATTGTCCTGTTTTAAAGGTTAAATTGTACCTGGTTGTACTGTATTGTGAGTGAACTTTTTTCTTGTGCATCCTGTGGTATCAAGGTCAATAATTTCATGACATAATGTCATTGATTTTGTTTATGTGCACTAGAATCAAATGTAAGTACACTGTCCATGTACAATGTACTGTGCTAATTGGAATTACTTAAAATACTTAAAATAGCTTTTAGTCAAATGATCAGGCCAGCACTTTTAATACCCATTTTAATTAAGTGTTTTGAGAGGGAAGTGCCAAGCTTGAAATAATTGTTGTGTGTTTATTGACTTTACCTTTATTGGTCCATTAACACTGGAAAAATTTAAAAGATAAACTACCATACCTGTATATACTACTCTGAAAATCAATTGAAAAAACCCATCAGTGTGTGCTAATTCTGTTTTTTGTGAGTTATGTGCGACTTTTCAATTCATGCTCATGCTCTGAACAGGATAGCGCTGAAGTGAGCAAAATCAGAATATTTCACTGGTTTTCTTGAGAGAAGGCATTTACACTGCAAAAAAAGTGGCAGAGTTTTGAATGGAGTTGAAAAATACTGCACTCCAGAGGTGGGATTGTTTGTTGTTGTGTTTATTGGTAGTTGTCTAGCAACTTGTTATGACAAATTTCTGGAATGTGAGAGAAAAACCAATTGTTTTCTTGCACTGTAAATGCCCCTATTGTGTAGACGAAGGCCTAACACTATGAATACACTTAAAAATGGAAGCAGCAAATTTGAAAGCCTAAAAATTTTCAGTTTTATTTGGCTGTCCATATAATTGAAGACTCCCTTAAATTAGGGTTGCATATAATGATAGTAAATGTGCAGTTAATGTTTTCTTTTATCATATTTTGCCCACCTTAAATCAGAGATTATTCATACACATTTTACATGAATTATTACTATTTTTTATTTCACATTTGAGTCAACTCAAAGGGAAGGGGAGGGTGGGGTTATTAATCCAAACTGTTTTGGATGTTCTTAGGTAGACAGTTGACAATTGAATCGGAAATTGATTTGTTATTTCATAAGCAATCGGATGATAAACTAATGAATTTCATGTTTTCGGGGAGAAATGACGTTATTGAAATCACAATAGCAGCTCTGCTTTGAGTTTGTCTCAGGAAGATGCTCAAGAAAATACATCGACGATCCTGCATGTTTGTTTCGATTCCTGTTGTTTTGGTCTGTGATCATTTACTGTGATTGCATAGTATCACGCGGTATAAATTTTGATTTCCAGTGGGTCTAAGGAGATGTGCATCTAATATCCGCCAGCCTGTCTTTCTTCATATTTGGGCTTCCTTTTGTTATACAGTCGTCAGAGGAAGTAGAGTCATGAAAAATCAAAGACAGATTCTGACCAAGATGCCATTGTGATGTCATCTTCAGTGATATACTTTGGGAAGTCTTTGGACCGTTTCTCTAAATGAGTATTGGGGGGGGGGGGGGGGGTAGTTAGGGGGGGGGGGGAGTTGAGAGAGGAGGAAAAGGGGACTTATGGAAGATGGGACTTGGGGAAGATTAGACTTGGGGAAGATGGGACTTGGGGAAGATGGGACTTGGGGAAAGGAGAGTTTTCATTGTATTTCTGGGCCTCGCAAAACAAAGATCAGCCACTGATGGTAAAAATAATTTGTGTGATTGATTGCATCCATCACTGTACAATTAATCAGAAAAAATCGGGAATTAATGATTTGTACATACCGGTAAGTGTGATTTTTGTAATAAAAGGCTATTGGGAGTTTTTAAAATCAAGGGTCTTGTCATTTAGTTATTTCATGGCATGAACCACTCGTGAATAATCACATTTGATGTGTTATGTTTGTGAAAGCTTTCAGTTTTATAATACATTGAAACCTGTCTATAAAGACCACCCAAGGGAGACAAGAATAGTGGTCTTTATGTACAGGTTTCTTTGATACACGTTTCAATGAGAAACCATTTTCAAGGGAAACAAAACAAATGTGGTCTTTGTAGACAGGTGGTCTTTCTATACAGGTGGTCACTAAAGCAGGTTTAACTGTAGTTGACAGACATGACAGACATAATGGTGGTGGTTATTTTACCCGACTGCTAAGAAAGCATAAATGCTTGTAAGTAAGCAACCAGACGGCCAACGGCTTTAGGTCCTCTCCAAGGGACCTGGTAATGAGGATTAATGCCTGACCAAAGGGCACTAGTTTAATTTGGTGGATGAATGCATTGTAAAGTATTAAAGCAACCTCTATCGTTTGTTGTTCTCCATTTCAGTGGTGTGTTCTTCACCTTTGTCTTCGCTCCACTCCTGATGTTTATCACGTGTGTTGCCTTCTTCGTCATGTCTCTGGGAACATTGACCTGTGAACCCTTGCTGACCTATGACCTTTTGAGAGTGGTAAGAGCGTTTAAAGATAAAGTGGAATTCTTGTTATACAGTCGAACCTGTCTATAGCGACCGCCCAAGGGAAACACAAAAAGTGGCCTTTGTAGACAGGTGGTCTTTGTAGACAGGTTCCTTTAGTACATGATTCAATGAGAAACCATTTTCAAGGGAAACAACAAATGTGGCCTTTGTAGACAGGTGGTCACTAAAGCAGGTTTAACTGTAGTACACATTGACAATGTGAGAGAAACTATTGGGAGAGGCAGACTATATGTAGTTCATCCAAATAATTGTGTGTTGTTATGAGGTTTTTTATTTCTTCAAAATGATAATAAAAAGTTGAATAGATCTTGCTGAAAATCGTATACAGAGAAACAGCATGACACAGAGAAATGGGGGTGTGGGACTAGGGTATGCACACGGTATGTGGCACGAAAGTTTGGTCCAAATGATTTAGCTGTTTGGTTTGACTGTCCATGTACATCAGAGACGCCAAGTTCAAAGATCGGCAATGCGTGACATTTTCATGATTTGCGTGCGAGGGTATAACACATGTATAAGGTATAGCGTTTTTTCAAAATCTAGCGCGCGTGTCGTGCGTAAGAGCATTTTCAGACCCTCGAAATGCGTGATGTCACGCCTAATGTGTGATACTTAGTAGCTCTGATGTACATTTGTATTGAGATTCGAATGTCCAACTCTCAGGCCTATATACCATCAGTACAGATGACGGTACTCTCACGAAAGTATGAAAAACATGTTGTGTCACCAAATATGTCATCAATTCTATCATTTTCCAGACCATCGATCAGCCCAATGTGATAACGGAGGGATACTATCTGGGAGGGGTGGTGCTTGATAACTCTTCCATCCCTCTGACGGCATCGGGGATCTTGACCGAATGCAGCGAGGGTTCGACGGTTTTTACTGCGTTCAAGTTCGATGCCATGTATGATTTTGACAGCATTAAACAGGTACCCTTTAACCTTTGACCCCACAATCTATAGCCCGAGGCTTCATGCACATACTTGCCTTATGTCACTGCATGCATGTACTATTAGGTGTCATGGTCGAGTGGATAGGTCACCGGACAGTGGATCACAGGGTCCGCGGTTCAAGTCCCGTAGCGGCACTAATGTCCTCTGGCAAGACGTTAATCTACTTTTATAACACTCGACCCAGGTGATGTACATGGGTACCTGGTAGGATTATTCCTTTAAATACACTGTACGCTGAGCACTGATAACGGCTGCTGGAGCTAAAGATAAGGCACTAATATCCAAAGCTCTTTGGAAGCGTATAGAGAGGTTTATAATGTGATATGCACTATACAAGAACCAAATATTATATATTATTAAAAAAGACGAGGGCTAAATTTTTATTTGCCTATAAGTATGTGTCCTATCTGATTGGAAGAGTCAATTTAAAAAAAATTCTGGTCAGAGCCAAGGGAGTGAGTATGAAAGTATTCATGAGTTCACATCCTTCTGCCTCCAAACAGACAAAATATTCTGTATTCTCACGTTTTTAGAGTGAAATTCAAATTCATAATGTAATATCTTTTTGCAGAAGTAATAAAAGAGGCTAACATTTTTATGATAGTTTAGCTCTGTAGAACCCCAAACATACCCTATGGAGTAATTCTTTTTTTTGGGGGGGGGGGGGGGGGGGGGGTTGGAGTGATTGGTCTCCTTTAAGTTTTAAATTATTTTCACGAAAGAAAAATATTATAAGACGGTTCTATAAAGATTTAAAGCATTAAAGTGCATTTTGATAAAGTTTCTTTTTTTTTTTTTATAGCAATAGCATTCATGTATATCATCTCACTTTTCCATGTTGATTTACAGAAACTGGATGAACTTCAGACCGAGTTCGATAACATCACCGACAAGATCGATCCCAAAGATCTCAACTATGACTTCCCATTCGCAGAGTTTGCGGATGATCTGAACAAACTTAGAGACACCACAGAGTTGGGTTCAATCAACCAAACTCAATATGATACATTGGTAAGATTGATTGACAACAGATGAATGATTGATAAGCTTGATTCAAAACTGAAAAAGAAAATCTGAAAAATATGTGAAATTGGGTGAAACTCCAACTAATTGAATTAACAATTTAATTGTGATATACTCTATATTTTTGATTTATGCTGCCACATAAACATTGATTTGATAATTGCAACAGCATTTAAAATCTTCAAAGCATCAAGTTCTACCCATTTTTCGTTCTCTGTAGCTGGATGCTGACATCACTGGCCTTAATCTGACAGAATATGCAAATAAGCTCCAAGGAATTGCAGAAGATCCAGGCACACCGGTGGTAAGCCAGATTCAGTGCTTTGCAGTCAAATTTAATAGTGAATTAATACCTCCATCACAGTGAGGAGACCGACACAAGGGGGGTGTTTCACAAAGATCTTAAGTTGAACTTATCTCTAAGTTGGACTTAACAACTATGGAAAGCTGTTAGCATCTATGAAAATATTTTGTACAAGTTATTTTAAAAGGCATAAAATGTTGATTCAAATCATTCATATTTTGTATTATCATGGAGATTTCATGTTCTTGATGTGGAAGTTATAAAAAGTCTAAAATACTTCAATTTTCGCTTTTGTATATATTTTATTTTAAGACTACAGATGGCTCTCCATAATTTTAAAGTCCAACTTAGAGTTGAGTTCGACTTAAAAGCTTTGTGAAACACCCCCTGGACCTTGTTTCATAAAAGTTGTTATCAACGGCAAATGATAAATTTCAATGACAGATTTGCTCCCAGCCAATCAAATGCCGCAATTTCAGTAGCTTATAACAGTTATCGTAACTTGTTATTGATAACAGGTTTTATGAAACGGGGCCCTGGACCGGTATTCAATGCAATAGTTACTGTATGTCAGAAATATGAGTACCTTACTCAGTTTTTTCAGCTTTGATCCAGATTTGAGCTCTGAAAATGGAGAATCTACATTGAGTGATGTATCACTTTTGTCTTTTGAGATCATCATTAACATATATAGAAACCTATGAGTTTGCCCTGTGTGTCAATCACTTGAAAATGTGTTTCAAATTTAAAAAATTGTCAAAATTTGGTCACAGAAATGACAAAAAAAGGGCACAAACTTTTACTAAATGTATTTGGTCTAATTTTTAAAGAAAAGTGGGTAAAACAGGGTTAAGTTGATATTTTATCATCATTGCTTTCCAATGCATTTCTCTCTGCCCTGCTGTTTGTATCTTTGCGTGATGATAGTTTTTTTTTCCTCTTTTTCTCTGCAGAGTGTGGTAGCAAATATAACAGCAGAGGCCGAAGCCATCAGGAATATTCAGGATTCAACTGTAGAGCCCATGCAAGCAAACACAGTAAGTTGTTCAGTAGGATCTCCTTGAAAACAAAACATCCCAAATCATTAGCTTTCTAGATTTTTGAGAGCTGAGAAACTGTTTTTATTATCATTATTATTATTATTATTATTATGTATTTGGTGTCACCTAAGCCTGGGAGGCGAAAAACAAAGTGAATCACTCTAACCCTCAGGACTCTCCACGGGGGTGTCCCTGTACTCTTATACGAATAGTGCAGTGGGTTCTTAACCTGCAAAGGTGGTGACTCTCCTCTACACGGGGCCTCCATTTAACATCCTATCCGAGGGACGGAGTGTTTTCCACTGTAACATAACAAGCGTCTATGAAACGGGGAGGGGCACGTTAACACACAACGCAGGCTTCAGTCATACGCCTAGGTTGGATTTGAACCCACGATCTTTGGTTCGACAGGCAGAGGCTATACCGACTGGGCAAAAAAAAAAGATGATAAGACAGGAAAATCTGTTATATTGTACTACATGTAATGTTCACTTTTTCATACATGTATCTTCTGATTTTGCATTTGCTTTCAAAATCTGGGAATCTATGAGCACCGAAATCCGTAGCCCAGCTAGAGCCAGGGTAATATTCGAGCCCCTTTAGCACCTTGCAAGGTTGATACAAGCACTATGAAAATCATTTAAGGGATTCGGTAACTTTGTCTCAGATTCTGAAACAAAATCCTGGATTTAGCTTGTGCTGCAATGATAATTATAAACCTTTAGGTCAGTCAGGAACCCCTCAGCCGATCGCCTGTCTGATTATCAAGATATTTGGGAAAACAAATTGCGTAAAACTGTTTAACTCAAAGATTTTTACTTTTTTGAGGCACTTCTTGATAATTTTGAAGCGCAACTTTTAAAGGGCTTCAATATTAGTTCGTACATGTATCTCTTCTTCTATATGTATGCACATTATATGAAATGTATTACTGTTGCTGTTGGTAAATTAAATGTTTAAATTAAAAAAAATCTAATCAATTCTTTCTCTCCATCAGAACCAGATCCAGATCCAACTGGATGCCCTTATGGCTTTGGAGGAACAGTTGGACGCGCAGATCAACCAGACCATTGATGCCATCGGGATAGCAGAGTTAGCAAGCAACTCTACCGCAGACGCAGTCTTGAACATTAGTGAGGAGTATGCTGAGAGATTGCTTGGCTATGGATACCAGTTCTATTATCAGATTGAATATCAGGTTAGGTGCTTTTGTTTGACCTTGTCATTTTCAATTTATTAATCTTTTTTCATTATCCAATTTATAAAAAACACATACAAACATTGACATGTATACAAAGCATTTAAAAGTCATGATTTAAAACCCCACTGCACTACTTATAGCTACTTGCGTCCTCTATATAGCAAACAATGCCTAATCGGTGACCATTGGTCCCCCATGGTCCCCTGTTAATTGAGAGCTGATTTGATGAGATAACCACCTTTCAGTGACGATGCAGGGCGGTCTAATCCCTCCTGGCCAAACTAGTGCAGAGGGGCTTTAAGTTGAGTTAGTCCACTGTATTATGGAGTGCCATGTGTTAATAATCACTTGGCTTGAGAAAGTCCACAGGAGTAAATGAAAGCTTGCCTAATACCCCATTCACAGTGGCCTCAAACACCGCGACAGCAGCGGGACTGTCCCGCTGCTGTCGCGGTGTTGTCTTCAGTGTGAAGGCTCGGACCCGTTATAAACTATCGCGGGATAACACCGCCTCGTGATAACGCCGCGACAAACTATCGCTAGGTTCGCCTAGCTACAGCAGCGGGACACTCCCGCTGCTGTCGCGGTGTTTACTCAGTGTGAAGGCTCTCCGCTATAACACCGCGACAAACACGTGTGATTTGTTTACTTACCTATCACTGACCTCTTTTCTCCAGCAATGGGCAACATAAAGTGAAATAGAAATAAAGTAACCAGTGGATTCAAATTGATTTTATTATTATGTAGATATTATAATTATCCAAATAAAATATTTCACACTTCAAAAAATTAAAATATTCTGACTGGAAGCAATAAAAATGCTAGTTTTTTAAAAAGTAATATGATCGAACTAGCTACATGAGGAAGAGTGTGTAAAGTACAGCTAGCGCGCGCAATTTCAAGCAATCGAAAACCCCGCGCTGAAGTATTTCCGGTCATATCGGGGTCACTCGCGGGTCATGAGCCATGCATACACGTGTTTGTTACGGAGGTAATAAAAATCACCCGCTGCAGCGTGAATGGGTACATGATATTTATCCCGCTGCTGCAGCGGGATAACTTTTCTACTGTGAATGCATTTGTAGCGGTGTTATGGCGGTGTCGCCGCTCCGCTACAACGCCGCTACAAATTTCAAAACCACTGTGAATGGGGTATTATAAATCTTATAGTTGATAGAAGCTTAAACCATATATATATAACCGTATATATTCATCTGATCATGACACTGAATAAACATACTGTATACAGGGTTTAAGCCATTATAAAATGGCATGAAATGCAGAAATGCGAAATTCTGAATATAATGAAAACTTTCTCTTGTGACAAATACATTAATTTTATCAACGAAATCACTCTGAATTCATCAATAATTTGTGATCGTTTCTCTCTGCAGGTGAAAAACGACTTTGCCGAGTGCCAGATTATCTCATCTCTCTACGCCTACTCTATTCAGTCTACGTGCGACTACCCGATTGCATCTTTGGTAAGAATCGAATAGAATAGGGTTAAACCCTTTCCTGACACTCATTCCGCATTTTGTAGTTTGGCTCAATAACTTTTGATTTAGAGCCTCAGAAAATATGCCAGATGTAGAAATGCCAGAGTGGAAAGAGCAAAAATATCTGCATTCACTGCATCCATTTTTGCTTCACCACTATAATGCGTCAGATGCCAGGAATTTTTAAACAGAAAATGTGCTTTAAAATCCTTAAATTGGCAACGCGTTGAGATGTTCAATATTATTTTTTTTCGACCATTAAAGGCACACTTTCCTACTTGTAGCTACTTGCTCCCTCTATATAGAAAACTTCCCAAATCGGTGCCTGTTGGTCCCCCATGATTCTCTTTTTCATATGTTAAATGAGAGCTGAGTTAATGAGGTAGCCACCTGTCACGGTGACCTCGATGGCTCACTGTGGTGGTCTAATCCCTTCTAGCTGAAGTAGTAAAGCCTCCCTTTAACATTCTCGCCCATGTATATTGTTTTCAGAGACATTACAATCTTTTCCGACAATGTAGCTATGAAAGAAAAATATTATTGTTGCCAATTTGATCAATAGTATGTGATCAATTTAGCCCTGAAAAATAAATGCTATCCTGAAAGGGTTAAATCAGTTTCACTCAAAACTTAGTAGGGTGTAATGAAAGTTAAAATTTCCACTTGCCTTTGTTTGCATTTTTGGCACTTAAATTGTTTCTTACTGATTGTCCTTTCACATTTTCGTATGTATTGTTTTTAGGCAAGTGAGTTAACACTGTTCACTGCATGTTTTGATATCTCTTGTTATTACATGTACCTCATCGGGGTGTTTCACAAAGACTAAGATCAACTTTAAGTTTGACTTAAATATCACAGGCTATTCATGTCACTGGGCGCTCACACCATTGGTTTCTTAATTATGATCTTTAGATAATATTTTTTCCTTCAATAATGAATCATCAAAAAATGTAAATTCTGTAGATTTGTTACCATGACTTGTAAGTCCCTTGAGAGACCAATGCCAGTGAATGGTGAGAGCAAACAGTGGCATGAACGGCCTGCCATAGTTATGTCCAACTTAAAGTTGATCATAGTCTTTGTGAAACACCCCCGTACCCATAAGTGATGTACATGTATATCTCATATCATAAACCATTACAGTTCTAAAAGATTTATGCAATACGATTTTATGTGACAGCAGAGATTTACCACACGATATCTGAACGAGCCTTACGCAAAATTCCCATCCATTCCTCCATTTCAGAACACGTTCTGGTTCACGGTGGGCTGGTGCGTCTTCTTCTACGTCCCCTCCATCATTGTCGCCGTCAAGCTGGCCAAGTACTACCGCATCATGGACGAGGAGGCACCCTACCGCGCCCCCAAGAAGTCCAAGAAGAAGAAGAAGCAGGAGCGACGGGAGTCCGACGAGGAAATGCCCATGGACGACATGGATCACGGAACTGGTACGTGCCATCAAATCCCTCCTTCATTATCTATTTTTCAAGCGTGCGGTCTTTGTTTTTGTACATTTTTATCGCAATGATGTTCCTTTTCCATGTTGTTACGATGTTTGCAAACTTGCATGTATCTGTTCTATCCAAAACGTTGTACATTTGTGAATGTGTACTTGATAAGCAGCAAATAAAGTTATATTCGTACCCCATGTTGTAAAACTTATTGACTCTGCTAACGTTTACGCCTTTGAATATGAAGCGACACCACCAGGGTTTTGATACATATTGCCCTTTGACCCCTTAATGGTTTAAACCATGGCCCTGGATGGTTGTCCAACATTTGCTCAGGCGTCAATTTCTCCAAGCCTTTTATTTCATCAGAGTTAGGGTTAAGGTAGTTAAGTTTCAGGTTAGGTTTCCGTCAGGCAATCTTCACTTGAAAAACATGTGTATTGAAATAAATGTATCTCTCTTTAACTTGAGGAATTAAAAAAAAGAGTAGAATTTTATGCAACATTAGGGTACACACACACATGCAAAATTAACATTTGAGAAACATTGCTAAAACAAAAGCAGTAATCATACTAAATGTCAAATTCTGTTAATGTTGTTGTTGCAGTTGTTATCGTTTTGTTTTGTGCTTGTAAATCCATCTTGACAAAGTTCTCCAAGAACACAAAGCCAAGCTGTTCCAAGGAATGAATTTTGAGTAGCACGGCCAGTGACTGACCTCCCCCTTTAACCATTGCTTCCCTCCTTGCATGTTCCCTTACCCCCTCCCCCCCTCCCCCCTCCCCCCTGCAGGATATGTTGCTCCCATGCATGGCAATAACGGTCATCAACAAGTGGTAGGTCCGTACACCCTTTCTTCCTAACCCTATTTTGCTTGTGTACCAAAAAAGAATCAAACAAAAAGCAAAAACAGTTATAACAGTATTATATTAATAATTGTAATTAAACAATAACAAAAAAAATGTATTTCCTGAAGAAAAAAAAAGGAGCATAACAACTCCTATTATTCGAGCTATCCTCCGTCTTTTCTGTCTACTGCAGTCTGTCCAACGGTTTGCTTCAGGGAAAAAAAATTAAAAACATTTTGGGGGCTACTTTTCAAGCTTGCTTGCATGAAAATAGCACTGTTTAATTTGTTTTGCATTGAACTCTATGCACATTTTTGGGGCTCTTTTATGATTTTCAGGCTCTCTTTTTGGCATTTCGGGGGCTAATTTGCTTTTTAAAGGCTTTTCATCTAAAAAGATTGAAACTTCCAAACCTTCTTTCAAGTTCTTTGAAAGATATATTCATATGCATTGCATGTTGGTAAATTCACTAATTTTTGCCCCAGCTGTATCTGTATCTGGGACTATTAACTAACGATATGCATCTTATTATCTTGTGATAACGCCTTTTGGCCTGCTTTCCGATTTTCCTATTAACATGCTGCTACTTTCCCTCCCTGACCTCCAATAACTAATTTGAGCTTTAACAGTGTTTATAGGAAGTACCTGCATGTAATAATAAACATAGAACTTTGATAAGGGTCATGTTTACGACTTCTCACCTTTTTTATCACTTTATGATGTCCTTCGTCAGGAACTGAAGCATATGATTATCAAATGTGTTGCCTTTATCTAGTACTTCCACACTTCCAAAGACCAAATAAAATCCATCTCTGTATTCACTTTGTCTTGTGACATGTACTTCAGATATTTGACATAATGACTGGGAAAGCTAAATGTATTACTTGTAAAATTCAAATAACATGAAGTCAGGAAATTTCAATTATTTTCATAACCTTTCCCTGTTTCTAACAACCCAATATATGCATATCTTGATGCTTACTTACTACAAAATGATATACATGTAGATTAAAGCCCTTCTAAAGTGTTGGGAGCCCCCAACAAAATTAATGGCAAAATTTCACTTAAATTGTATCATGTGAAAGCGGATGTCATTTAAGACACACTTCTGCAAAGCCCCCCCCCTCCCCCCCCTCCCCCCCCAAAAAAAAAATGTATTTGAAGTTGAATATCGATAAAAGAATACATAATTTGGGTTTTCTGTTGTATGATGACATCCTCTTTCACATCATGATACAATTAAAGTGAAATTTTGCCATCAAATTTGTGGCGAAATTTGGGGCTCCCAACACTTTAGAGGGGCTTTAAGTTCTAAAAAAATATTTAGATTAACTGGTAGATGGTTTGTTTCTATATATAGTCTCATATCCAGAATATCAGATTACACTGTGTGGGTAAGGTTCTAAGACTTTTTGTGTTATTCAAACATGATTCATTAATTCATTGATTCATGGAGCACCAAGTGTAAAATATAGTTATTGTAATTCTGTGACTAGATTAAGTAAACAGAAAGAGCTCAGCCACAAAACAAAAATGGGTAATTGATTTCATTGTGTTGTTACATTGATTCATTCAGTCATTGGTATTGAAGTCAAGTTTATAGTTTAAGAAGTTAGTCAAAGAGGTTGGCACTTGCGACAACAAAAATCATTGGTGGGGGTTATCTTAACATGAAGTTTAAGCTTCTATCAACCATAAGATTTAGTTGGCAAGCTGCCATCCACTCATGTGGACTTTCTCAAGCCAAGTGATTATTAACACATGGCACTCCATATTAAAAACAGTGGACTAACTCAACTTACTTGTCAGGGTGTAAATCTTGACTATTAAAAATATTACACTTTTATGAACTCCTGCCTTTGTTTATATGTTTGTACATGTCTGAGGGAAGTCAGGTTTACATTGAAACACATTTACATTAATATTTCCCATCCATACCGTGACTCTATCCTGCAAATGTCGAGCCTACTTTTCATTGTGCTGATAGTGTAATGCCATCTTGTCTCTCCAAGCTGAATGAGTTAACAATTTATCAGGTCATAGATACAGTTAACAATTAATTTATTCATACCCCTTTTGATTAAAAAAACCCCAAAAAACTCAAGAATGAAAGGTGAACTTGTTGAATACTTTTAGATATAAGCTTTAATATGTGTCATTCTCAAGAAACCTAAATCAGGACAAATAAATTGTTCACCGACTTTAAAAATAGAAAACTTGGTAAGAGTATGAATTATTTAATTGTTAACAAAAAAAAAAAAAAAAAACATGTCCCTAGAAAGAACGTCCTCTCCAACCTGATTCAAAAGGCTTTCTGAAGGAAAGGAGAATTACTTTATGTAATGTCCTGGAGATGGATGTTTGTTCAATCTACAGCACGGTCATGTCGTGTAGAGCTGACGTTAATGGTGAATAGACCATTTTCGTACTTTAACCTAATTGAATGCATACATCTTTCTATAAAAGTGCTTCTATACAAATATTTCATTCACCTGTAATGAATTATTGTACTTCAATAGTCAGATTGAATGCAAAATGCATATATTTCATGAAGTTAGGTAGGGCAAGCTTTAATGGTTGTCCTACCTGGCAACCACTAATGTATGCAGTTCTCATTCAGAGATTTCTGACTTTTGAAATACAATTATTCATAACAGGCGGATGAAATAATTAGTTTTGAGGCACTTTACAAAGACGTAAGCATTAGATTTGATTATATTATGAAAATGGTCTATAGTACCACATGTACATGTATCGTTTGAATCAAGATAGTCTGTGCATTTTGCTTCACATGTATGTACACCTGTACAGTCGTTTTTGCAAGGACAACATCTATGTGAAAACTTTTCTTTTGCTTTTCCCCCCTTGATTGATACAAATATTTCATCAAATTTCATTAAAATCAACTACCGGTATTTGTTTCTGATTCTGTATGTTAATACTCCCAATGGTATGGTTCAAATGGTATATTAATTTCCGGTTAATAACATTTACTAGACAATACTTTAACAGCTAACAAGAATTTGGAATGATACAGGTATATCTAACTTTGAATGTACATATATATCTCTCTTTCATCCCAAGCGGAATATAATTGTGAATGTGTGATTGTTTTTTTCATTTTAAACGATCTTTCATTAATGCATGTATTTCTTCTCAGAGGAAAATGTTATAACAAATAATTTGCAAACGAAGGTTCTCTCTGTTCTCTTTTTATTCATATTAAAAAGCTTATATTCTCTAAGAGCTGAAAATCTGCTTTTTCTTTTCTTCTTCTGTTTTATCAAACATTACATAACTGTATGAAATCGATATTTTGTATTCATTTATCTTCCACTATAAAAATCTTCCCCCTTTTAATATTCCTTAAGAGGGTTCAAATTTGGGATTTTCTTCTTGAGCACTAACATATGATTACCGGTAACATCAAACTTGACTGCAAATATGACTATCGCCTTCCCACCGAAATATTTTTATAAAACTCATACTTAAAAGAGATTTGACTAATGAAACAAAATGAACAAGAACAGTCCTGAAGAACAAAAGGTGGACTGGTCGAATTATGGTCTATTTTGTTGAATACTTTTAGATGTTAGCTTTAATATGTCATATTCTCAAGGTACATAAATTGGGACATTTAATTTTTTCACATACTTAAACAAATACAAACTTTGTAACGGTGGGAATAATTCAGTTGTTAAATATATATGTTAACCTATTGACTGCTAAATTCTGTCATTTACATGAGCAGTAGATTAACACAAGATTGATAAGTAAAGGAATGAAACAAATGATGTATTACTTGCACATATAGATGTAAACATAAAAGCTCAATTGATGTTTTTACTCTTCTTTCATGATGCAGGACCAGACAACATACGTTTGGTAGATAACGGGCGACCTACGAGTATGATGCCCCAGCAGAATCCTCATTATGTGCCAGGTAATAGAAATTTTCAGTTTCACAAAACAAGTATAAACCATTATTCTGCTTTAATATATTGTATATATTCTGTATAATATCCAGAGCATCATACAATGAATATATTCTTGGCAAACCTTGCAAAACACATGTAATGGAGTTTCGTCAGTGCTCTTCACCTTTCTTGTTTGACTGATGATGTTCTCTTCCTCTAATCAGCGCGTGAATTATTCATCTTCATTTCAATTTCAATTACAATTTATAATAAACCATCATTTGTATTTCTAGCTTTCAATAATGTGCAAGTGTACTTCTTCAATTTTGCATTTGTATCCAATTTTATCAAAGACATGTTTTAATTGCATCCTTACCTTGTTTCTCTCTATCTCTTCTTCCTCTTCTTTCAATTCTACTTCTTTCTCTCTCTCTCTCTCTCTCTCTGTCTCTCTCTTCTTCCTCTTCTTTCCCTGCCACTCGTCTCTTTATCTCTCTCTATTTCTCTATTTTTCTCTTTCTCTCTCTCTCTCTCTCTCTGTTTCTCACTCTCACTGTCCTTTTTTTTCCTCTCACCCCATTTCTTCTCTCTTCTCCTCTTCCCCTTTTTCTTACCTCTCCTTCTCACTCTCCTCACTTCCTATCTCCCTCTTTCTCTCATTCTCCATCCCTTTCTCTCTTGTCTCTCTTCCCCCCTCTCTCTCTCCCCCCCTCACTCTCTCCATTTCTCCCACTCTCCATTCATCCATTCATCCATTTATTTCTCAATCACTCTCACTCTCTCCTCCACAGATGAACCCATCTTGGCCTATAATGACCTAGGTCGCCCCATGGCTCCGCCTCCAGCCTACAACCCCGGTGAGCCTTTTAATATTCCTCCTCACGATTACTACTTCTGATCTTCATCCAATCAGCTTTTTCTTTAAATATTATTATCATCTCAACCAAATATAAGCTGTAATTTCCCCCTTATTTCTCTCTATTTTATACACACGTATATACTCTATGCCCGTTGTGTACTGCTTTTGTTATCCATGCTCTTTTCATCAACTCCAAACAGCTTGCATTTACAGTAATCTTATTTATTTAATTAATATGCAATGTGGTAAATAATACATGTATGTACATTTACCAAAAGTTCATCATAAAGCGAGCTTTTTGATCTGAAAAATACTTTAAATGATTCAATGTACATCGTCTGTATTTAATGTTTACACATCTCCTGGTATTGTGCATTTTTATTTCATCTCTGTTACTATAGATATACACATGTGATGTAGTACACATAAAATATTGTAATGTGTATATTTTTTTCGATAATCTGTACACATAATATCTGATTTTAAACTGTGCCCCGAAGAGGACGACATCGTAGGAAATTGTGTGTGCCAAACGTTTGAATTTAGCATTGTTTTGTATTCCATCTTGTGCGACTTTAATACAGGGATGTCTTTTTCCTTTGATCTGATATTTGTCGAAATCAATTCAAATCATTTAAAGTGGAATGTGTAGAGCAATTAACCCCGCTATTGTGCAGTGATGTTTTTTAAACAATTTATTCGCCATGGGTATAAACTCTGGAGTGCCACATACATGTAGTTTGGAGTATGTGTACACTGTGTGTGAGAAAACTTGACTGTGGCAGTCTTCTGTTTGTTTAATGGGTCAAGCGAAAGCAAGTAAGGGGTTAAGGAAATACAGTCAGACCTGTCTATAGCGAGCGACCGCCCAAGGGAAACACAAAAAAGTGGTCTTTGAAGACAGGTTCCTTTAGTAAATGTTTCATGGAGAAACCACCTTCAAGGGAAACAAAAAACGTGATCTTTGTAGACAGGTTCTTCAAGGAAAGCAAAAAAAAAAGTGATCTTTGTAAACAGGTTCCTTTAATACATGTTTCAATGAGACACCATATTCAAGGAAACAACAAATGTGGTCTTTGTAGACAGGTGGTCACTAAAGCAGGTCTGACTGTATGTGCCCTTCACTTGAAATCTATTCTCTTTGAAGGTGAAATTTTTAATGAAGCATCCTTGCTGGACCAAGGACTATTTTTCTGATGAATCTTCTTTTTTATCCCTCAAAAAACCGAGTGTGCTCATGCCAAAATCCCCCTTCAATTGCTTTATTCCTCAGAACACTATTTGTAACCTGTTCGTGCCGGATGGTTAATGGTTTGCAATTATATTTTATGCAACTAATAATACTTACATGTAGCAGCATATTTATAGAATGAAAGCACATTAAATGCCACTAACTTCACTCTTTTATAAATTGGTGACTAGTTAACAGAATTTGGCTAGAAGAAGACTAGGTAGAAAAACATATATAATATGAGATTTTTTAAACATCATTTCAGTTGCATATTCAACAAAAATTAAGTAGGTGTATGGTGGATATTTTTCAATAAAAAGCCATATTGTGAATTGAATATTTGGTTAGTTCTTAAATACATTTTCTATTAAATAATTTAATGATGTCATTTTACATTCAAACATACATTACCGGTATATTAAAGCAGAAGTGAATATTGCATTGTATTTGGAGAACATGTTCACCCTCACTTTTGTTTATTTCCTTTTGCACATAGTATAGAATACTGAAGAATGGATAGAAAATAAAATCCATTCAGAAATAGTATTTACATTAATGTTAAACATGGACAGTATGTCATATCTCTAAGAATCTCCTCTGCATAACAAATACTGTAAATAACCATTAGAATACATATATGTATGGTCCCTTTAATCATGAAAACAACTCTAGTATTTCTAATCCATTCCTGTCCTTTGCTAATTTGGTGTCTTTACTATGAGATGTTGTAAATACACAGTGGTCATTCCTCATACGTGTACATATATATGTGATGAAATGAAACAGGTGGTATTTAGTGTGAAAACATCTGATTTTAAAAATGAAGTCTTTGGTGATGTAAACAACGTAACAGAAATTATTAGTACTATTTTGCCTTAACAATGATTGATAACATAATTATGTGATGCATTTTGATAAAATTTTGATCGATTGAAATCTCATTTTTTGTTCATGTACATGCTGTGTGATGCCTTCTGATGACACGAGAGGAAATGTTTTGTTGTTTATTGCTTAGAAGAGATGGAATTATAGTGCCATACCTCACGTTCGATTAAGCTGCAGAAGTATAGCAATGCTCATTTACGATAGGTTTATGAAAACAAACTATGTAATGCTGCATAGTAATCGGGATACTGCTCAAAATGTGGATTAAAATAAGAAAATGCTTTTGGCGGGAACATAAGCACTTTTTGCAGTTGGTTTTGCTATGAAATACATGTAAATAATGATTTTCGAGCCGCCTCAATGGCTTGAGAAGCTGTGTTGCATCGAGCTTCCCAATTTCTTTGGTGGTGGTGGTGGGGTTAGAGAGTGCTATTTCTCAGTGCAAAAAGGATCTTCCCCTCAACTATGTCAACATTTCATTGAAAACAATAGTTGTGTACAAACTGCATAGAAATTTAAAGTTGCTTTTTTATGTGTGTGGGATTGCAAGGCATAATTTTTAGAATGCTCATAGGATTGCTATTAAACATGCTCAAATTGTTAAGTGGTCAAATATGTGCAGATCCCATAGAGCAGCTGTCGGATCTTTTTTAATTTAAACTGAATACTTAAACATGCAGGCAGTGAATAGAGGATTAACAAAGTGTACGAACGCCGTTATTATGAACGGACGAATTAGTCATATATATTACTGTACAGGTTCGTTGCCTAGTTGCGAATGCAATGGACAGTAATTTGTCTTCTCTCTGCTATATATATATATATACACAACTCCAAACATATTTGAGAAGTTATGGGGGAGGGAGAGAGTAGAAGGCAAAGAAATTTGTCTCTCTTTCAAAGTAGCAAAGCTAGTTAAGGTCAACAGACTGGGTCATCAGCTCAATTAAAAAGTAATTACAAATGCTTGTAATTGTTTTTGTGTTGCTTTTACAATGCAGCTCAGTAAGACGAGAAAGTGTTATTGATCGTGTCTTCAGAAATGTGCATTTTAACGTTAACCAAGATCGTGATGTTTTATACTTCTGTATGTATTTTTGTGAGTGTAAATATACCTATTTGTATATCATGTTGTACATGTGTTCGTATGTTGATAGTTGTAATATTTTCCATGCCATCATATCTGTACAGAGTTGACTTTTATTTTTCACTATAAAAAAATGTGTTCTGTGTGGAGATGTGTTCAAGACCCACTCTATCAATTCGTAATTTGTTTGTTTTTACTCCCAAATAAGGGAAAAGAACAACTGTATTAGGTTGTGAAATATACTTAAAGATGAAGTTGAGTTCTGGTCATGCTATTGCATTGTGAAAGAAACGGTGTGGAATCGACCAAAAAGGTTGATTATCTAGCATAATAGGGAATTTATGTGTATTGCAAGGTTCTGGAATCATCAAAATGATAAGAAAATTGGCTAAGTCTTGGTAAAGTTACAAACATTGTACACAAAAAGATGTATATGGGACTACACAAACACGTGGCGTAAAAATTCTACCCTGGATTTTTACGAGGGTACATGCCATATTTAGAATATGAAGGCATTTGAAGAGCCATGCTTTTCAAGGAACATGTTTAATCTGATGTTCTTCCACCCTTGCATAATAACAATGATAACGCTCACAAATTATATTTCACCTCTTCCCAGAACTCAACCTTCTCTTTAAGGCACCATTTATTACTCTTGTTGTTATCATAGTGGTAGTCCCGGTAGATAGTGAGTTTCTTGCCAATTTGCAATTCACACCATTTTGTCCATATTTGACTATTGCCATCTCGCACCTGAACATTCTAATGCCAGAGATCCACAGTTGTTAATTTTGTTATGTTTTTACTTTCTTGTAAAATTTTGTTGAAGTATTGAGCATTGAATTTTTCCCTTTTTTGTTGTTTCCTTTTCCCTTCACCTTTAAAGAGTTACATGCTTTCAGAGGTTTGCCAAGATATAAAAGGGATACTTAAAGAGGACCATTTAGTTTGTTCCCTCTTCCTTCATCAACTGCTAATATCAGAATTTTAAATCTGAAATAATCTAACCTTTAAAGACTTGATATTAAAAACGACTCACTATGAGTCTTCTTTTTTCTTCTTCAAAATTTCATTTCTTGTTTGTTTTCACTGCAAACCTCTTCCTACCATGAATCTCAAGCACAACAATGATCCTTTTCTAGCAATTTTTCTCTGAATGGTTTTTGAGTCATCTCTGTTAACCTTAACTTCTGTGACATCCTCTCTCACTCTGACGTGCAGTGATTACCTTACCAAAAATAGTTTGTCTTTCAAGCTAACAACCTTTCTACGTCAATTCAGAAAGAGGGTTTTAATTGCTCTTAAATGTAACAAGTGACTGGCCTAAATGTAACTCAATGCAATTTATTTATTTTTATGCCTCCGCCACCGAAGGTGGTGCCGGAGGCATCATGTTTTCGGGTTGTCCGTCCGTACGTCCGTACGTCCGTACGTCCGTACGTCCGTCCGTACGTCCGTACGTCCGTCCCGTTTGACCGTTATCACAATATCTCAAGAACCATTTAAGATTTAAACTTAAGACTCGGGAATAGTATTTATCACCATAGGAAGACGATCTGATTAGATTTTGGAGTACGTAGGTCAAAGGTCACAGGTCACAGAGGTCAACTTATGAAATTCCTTGTATTGAGTTTGTTAGCGCGATATCTCAAGAACCATTTGAGATTTAAACTTCAAACTTAAGGATAGTATGTATCACCATAGGAAGACGATCTGATTAGATTTTGGAGCACGTATGTCAAAGGTCAAGGGTCACAGAGGTCAACTTATGAAATTCCATACATTGAGATTGTTA